GTTGTCAGGATTTCAGGGCCTGCAAGCCTTTCTATTCTAGATTTTAGGATCTGTCCCCATCTCCTGGAAGCTCTGGTCCAGCTTTATTCTCCCCATTCCTGGGACAGTGCTTGCTTATGTTGACCAGCCTCTGTGTGCTCTGCTTTAAGGTGGGTTCCTGGGTAGGTCCATGAGGAAGCTCTGGAGGAACACACTTGCCTGGTGCGCTCTGCCTGGAGAACATCTGCATGCTGTACCCACTGTGGAGCCTGAGTATGGCAGAGGTTTCTTTGTATGGGTGTGGGCACAAGAATGATGCCTGGTAATAGTGATACTGTTGTTGTTCCTAAGTATGTCCTGATGTAGTTGAAGATTGAAGACACTGGACCAGGAGTTGAGTTAAAGCAAGCACAAAGTTTATTGAAAGGATAAACTTTCCCTGACTGGTGGGACTTAGTGAAAGAGTTAAGCTCTAGAATAGGTGACGTCCAAGAAATATAGGGCCTGAATTTGGCATCCCCTACTTTGAAGCTGGATCTGTAACTTGGCTAATTAACTTTTTTTTTGCAGTACTTGGGCTTGAACTCAGGGCTACTCCTTGAGCCATTCCACTAGCCCAGTTTTTAAAAAATTTTTTTTTCCACATAGGTTCTCGAGAACTATTTGCCCTGGCTGGCTTCGAACCATGATCCTCCTGAGCAGCTAGGATTTCAGATGTGAGCCACTGGCGCCCAGCTAATTAAACTTTTTGTTGACTTCATCCTTATCAGACTGGACATTCCAGGAGGTCCTTGCCTTATGAGGCTGGGCATTCCAGGAAGGCCTTGTAGTCTATCTTGTCCTTGAAATCTGCCTTAAGGGGTTTATATTTTATCTCTTTAGATGTTTGTCTTTAAGAATGATCCTTTATCTAAGGCAGTTACTTCTGCCATTTGTTTCTTTTACATTCCCAGAGCCATTTCTGCCATCTATTCCCCTCTGTTTGTTCCCTTCAAAATAACTTTATCTGGGGAGGAAGACTTAAGCACCAGACTTCTTTGGACTTGTCAGGTCCAAAGGATAGGAATGGGGATATCTCTCATCCATCCTGCTCAAGACAAGGACTCACTGGGGAACCCTAGAATGTTTCAGTGGAGGAACTGCAGGAGCTGTGGTGGGGATGGGGTGGAGAAGGTTAGGGTGGGCTGTTAGAAGGCCTGTTGTTCCAGCTGTATTATCAACCAATGTCCCTAGAGAGCTGCCACCCCTCTATGTTCCCATGGGTGAATTCTCAGGTCAGACTCCCAAGACTCCTGCTTATCACAAAGGGTCAGAGACTGATGGTGGGGTCCTAGCATTGGCAGGGCTGAAAGCATTAGGGGGCCTATGGTTGACTTTCTTCTTTCTCAGCCTGGCTTTTTCCCTGAAATTAAAGACCTTTAGAGGATGTGCTTTCAGCTGAAATCCAAAGGAAAAGGTTTGGGCTGGTGGGGTGGCTCAAACGGCAAGGGTGCCTGTCTAGCAAGCAAGAGGCCCTGAATTCAAACCCCAGTACTTTAATGGGAAAAAAACAAAAAACAGAACAAAGGGAAAGGCTTCAGGACATTTTAGGAGAACCCCTTCCATCTAAGATGCTTCCAGATAGTTTTTTTTCCAGTACTGGGGCTTGAACTCAGGGCCTTCACTATGAGCCACTCTGCCAGCCCTTTTTTTTTTGTGATAGGTATTTTCGAGATAGGGTGTCTTAACAATTTGTCCGGGCTGGCTTTGAACCTTGATACTACTGATCTTTGCCTCCTGAGTAGCTAGGATTACAGACATGAGCCACCTCCATCCGGCTCTCAGAAAGCTTTTTAACTATGTTCCCTCCCCACTCATGAATGTCTTGAGCTGATAATTGACTAGAGGGTAAGGAGATTGACAAATTAACCTTAGAGAATGAAATGAATTCTTAAAAAAGGTTCCATGTTTACCTTACCTGTCCCAGACTTGCAGGGACACAGTGAGGCCCACAACTGCTGCCATCATCACAGGACCCAGAACCATCCCTCCCTCCTTGCCCCTGAGCCATGTGATCAGTAAAGGTCCCCAGCAAGGGGACCCCAGGTCAGGTCACTAGCCAGAGTATAGAGCAGGTTGGAGCCCACTCCAAGAAGGAATGGAAAACCTCTGTCCCCATCCCTGGTGGGTCAACACAACCATCTAGTGAGCACATAGCAGCCAGGTGCCACCTGGACCTCTCCCCACTGGCACATCCAGCTAAAACTGGAGACAGAACATCACAAGTCTGGAATGTAAATTCCTAGTAGGAGATTAGAGGGTAGTGTCTGGGGAAAGGTGTAGGGTCAGAGGCCAGGATATACCCTCATTATGACCACCAACTCTGAAATGTATTTGCAGCAAGGTGAAAAACAAGAGTTATTAAGAGGTCCCGGGATGAAATGAGGCTTGGATACTCTTGTCCTTCCCATGTATTCCTTGGACAACCAATGGTAGGGGTAGCTCCGGGTAATGGAAGCCTGGGGCTGTAGGAGGACTGAATGAAAGGGGAGCAGAGGCCTGGCTCTCCCCTGGTCTCAGTCTGCTATCCTCCCATCCTGTCCCACTTCCTGAGTGTTGGGTATTGCTTAGCACCTTAGGAGGTGGGTATTAGATAGTGCTAAAGGCCCCAGGAAAACCAAGGTGGGAAGGAGGCACCACCATTAGGCTTCTTAGCAGGGTATGAGTGGGTAGCTGGGGCCTTATACCTCTAGCACACCATCTCCCACCAGGACGGTCAACTATCCTGTGTTTTGCTACTTAAAATCTTTAAATGTCTCCCTACTGCTCAAAGTATAAAATCCAAATGCTAGCTGCTAGGTACCAGTGACTCAAGCCTGTAATCCTTGCTACTTGGTTGAATATGTATCATTTAATTGCACATTTTGCTTACTTTTTTGGCGGTACTGAGATTTGAACTCACACTTGCTAAGCAGATACTCTACCACTTGAGCCACTTCGTCAATCCCTGATCTTTGCTACATGGGAGGCTGAGCTTGGGAGGATCACGGTTCCAACCCAGCCTGTGCAAAAACAAGCTTGAAACAGTGTGGCTGCAGTCCTACCAGACCAAACCACTCTATTAGGCTCTAGGATATCTACATAATAAACTGTTTCTGCTCCACCTCATTCACTTTCCCTGGCATACATGTCCTTTTAGGACAAGGCACCTGTATACTAGCTCCATCTTTTTCCTAGGCTGGTCTCAAATTCACAATCTTTCTGCCTCAGCCTCCTGAGTGCTGTAATTACTGGCCTGTACCCCCACAGCTGACTCTTCCCTGCTATCTTTAAACTTTCCAGATCCAGCTCATCTGGACATAGTGGTACATGCCTGTAATCCCAGAAGACATGTAGAAGGCCAAGACAGGAAGATTCCAAGTTCAATGCTGCAGTGGTTGGTGGTCACCTACTTTACTAAGGTTTTCCCTTGAGCATCAGTTAGCCTCCTCTGCGGTGGGAAAATTCTAGGATTCTGCTGCTTGCTAGAATTGAGGAACGACAGGAGGAGGAAGGTAAAGTCCTTGTGCTTTAGCACTGCAAAAGATGGGGGATGAGTGAGCTGGGGGATTCAACTCTGCTGAACAACTGTCCCATCTTTTTTTTTTTTTTTTTGCAGTACTGGGGTTTGAACACAGGGCCTCCAACTTGAGCTACTCCACCAACTCTTTTTTGAGAGTCTTACCAGCTATCTGCCCAGGCTGGCTTTCAAACTGTGATCCTCCTGATCTCTGCCTCCTGAGTAGCTATGATTACAGGCATGAGCCACTGGTGCCTGGCACCACTGTCCAATTTTACTACCTCTGCTACCCCTCCACTGCTCATCTCCCCTAGGACCTTTATATACCATACTTCAAAACAGATTTTGTCTCAACCAAAACATCCTTCTTGGCCCCCAACACACCACCTCCCAGCAATTTTGGGTGCAAGGCGGCTTGATGGTTGGGGTTAGGTTCTTCTTTTCCCTTAAGCAGCACAAGGAAACCAGTGCCAAGGGCTATACTGCTTGAGTTCCTCCTGAGGCCAAAAGGTTGACCCATTACTTTTCAAGGGTAGATTATCTTGTAATTTTAACTGAAAAAGGCTAAATTTTCATTTTCTGCCCTCAACCTACCCCTCATCTCTAGTTTTAATACGAGCAAGGACTTTCAACTATACAAGGGGCATGTCAAGACATTAAAATGGCCATCACATTTCAAGGAGCCCAATAAATAAAAAGACCTGGTTGAATTTGAGAGAACAATTTGTTATAATGAACCAGAAATACAATATTTCACTGAAATCGAACAGTTGACAATATGGTTGAACTTAAACCTTCAAGGGAAAAAGGGTAAAATAAGTGGAGAAGCCCAAGACTGGCTTGGGACAAACATGAGGATAACTGCATTTTAGCACAAGTAGCTCCCAACCCCTCCCAGTAGTTGGTCTGCCATCACTCTCCCATCTGCCAAACCAAATGGCTTCCTCCTCTATATTGCAGATATAAGCCAACCCAATCTTCGTGGCCATTATACAAAGCCAAGAAGAAAGCTTCAAAGTCTCTTTTGGAGTAGAATGTGTGCACATTCAACCCAGCATTGCTGGTTACCATCGATGTGGTGTCAATACATGATACCAGCTTTAATCAAATCAAAGCTGCCATCAAGTGTAACCAGTTATGTGGCACTACAGCAATGTCTGTGTCCCCAATTTACTATAGTACATTATCAATGTAGAATGTATTTTTGAGCTCCAAAATTTTCTTAATCCTTCTAAAGAAGCTATTAGAAAGAATGTAGAGCCAAAACTCTATCTTAAAAACAAAGGCATTAGGGAGAACACTGGCTCCTTCTGGGACCTTTTTATGGGGACACAGAGATGAACAGAGGAAATGTTAGAATGTCAGAGCTAATGACAGGTGAGGGGAGGCAGAAGTAGGAAGTGTTCTACCCACAAAGCCAACACATCCACATTCAAAAAGAAGTCCTGGAGAATCAGGGAAAACCACCCAAAAAACAAGCAAATCAAAGGAAAAAAGGGTCTCATATAACACAGTATCAAAAAGTAAAACACACTAAATGCACAAACTGGTGGCAGGTAAGTCCACAGCCTATCATGATAGGTCCTTCCAGCATAAATCAGGTTTCCTCTTGTCTGTTATCTCAAGGTTATTTACAGATGTGGTGACTTTAACAGTCTCTCACAGGAGGTCAGGCAGGCAAGGCAGACTCTAATCATTGGTTTCTGGATCTGTCTGCGCCATGTAGGCATCCAACTCAGCATCCAGGTGTCCTTTAGTTTTCGACATGTATGCATCCAACTGGTTGTCTAGCTGTTCCTTGGTCAATACAGGGCGAGTAAGGGCACCTCTCCCTCGTCCACGGCCACGGCCTCGGCCTCCAAAGCCCCCTCTTCCCCGACCTATCACACCCCGACCTGGCCCAAGAAAAAAAAAAAAGACAACAGTTACAAGTAGGTTTAATGGGTGCTATAGGAGTAAGTGCCCCTTAGAGTAGTGGGGTCTAGCTGAGAAAAGCTGAAGGGCAGGGCAAAGAGAAATCTGGAAAAATAAGAAACACACTGGGTAGAAAGCAACACATGGAAAGCACACATAATGAATCCCTTATTACATGCTCATCTCTAAATGGTACTTAATTGTTTTTTTCTTCTTTTCTTTTTATATTTTTTGGAGACAGGGTCTCAGCATGTAGCCCAGGCTGGCCTCAAACTCTTGATCCTCCTGACTCAGCCTCCCAAGCTGCTGGGATTACAGGCATGCACCACCATGCCCGGCCAAAAGAAAAAAAATTTTCCCCTACCAACACAGGAAAAATAACTAGCTGGCAAATGTAATTTTAAAAATATCAACCTCTCCTCATACAGAGAAATTACTTAAAGTTTGAGACTATAAGCTCACAATTAAAACACATTATAGATAATCCCATTTAGTAATATAGGGAGGCAGTAAAAAGGGCACAGAGAAAACAGTAGTGTGTAGTTAAGACAGTTTTCAAATAAAGCTTTAATGGAGACCTTCTGGAAAGTTATCTCTTAAACATCCTAGCCACTTCTACCTCTGATTCTAGGCACCTGAAGACAACTATGATTATCTGAGAGGTGGTTTTAATTCACTTAATAAAATACATCCAGTTTTCCGAAAAGCTACTTGTAGTCTTTCTCACCCTGTTGCTCTAAAAAAACAAGTCAAGATAATTTGGAGACGTTTTATTTCATCCTGAAACCCAGACTAGTTTGCACTTGAGTGAATAAGCTAAGTAGCATATAATAGGAGAGAAGGAAAAAAACTCTGGTTATTCAATATGCTTTCCTAACAGTTCTTATTTCCTTGGCAACTTCAAGGCTGTTAGTTATGGGAGACCCACCATACACTTTAAAAGCATTAAAGTGAATCTCCTCAGGGGCTGTTAAGAATAGTTCTTTTCCTCTCCTGAATAGGTGTTGTTGGGAGTTTCTCACTAAAGCTCTAAGCCAGAAAGCTCCCATGAGGTTTGGCATTACCACCACCACCACCATTAAACTCTTTTCCAATTTGAGTCATAAAGTTACGAGACAAGTATCAAGGGATCAAAGGTAAGATTCTCAACAAGAGTCAGTTGGTTAACTGACAATAGTACCATCTTACTTTCTACCTTGATCAGAAAAACTGTCTTTGGTACCTCATAGACGTAAATTTTATTTTGAATTTACGTGGTTTCGGAGCAAATGCCTAGGCTCTAAGTCCTCCCATACCTCACTGCCTGTGTTGGAGCTTGAACCCAGGATCTCATGCATGCTAAACATGAATTCTACCACTGAGCTACACCCACAGCCTGTCACCAGCCTCTGTCGTTTATCTCCTCTATTCTTTGCTTCCCCACGCCCCTCTCTGTGGTGCTGGGGAACTGATTCAGGGCCATGCACACGCTAGACCAGTGCTCTACTACTAAGCTATATCCCCAATCCCTCTTTTCCTATCTAACTTAAACTGGAGTTTTGAGCCATGGAGTAGGTGTGTAGTGGAGGTGGTGGGGCAGAGACAGAAAAAGGCAAAATCCCAAACGGAACATTTTGTCATTAGAGTCTGAAAGAAGACTGCATAAAATCTGGCTCTAATATGCATTCAACTGATTCTTAGAAAAATCATGAAATTTCTGCACTACTAGCATGTGAATTTAGAAAATAAGCCAGTTTCAAAAAAACGAAACAAGACAAACAAACAAGCCTGCCTGTGCCTTGAAGCTGTGCAGAAAGGTGGCTCTTGAGTTTTTAAGGGAGGGAAATAAGGGGGAGCTACTCTCTGAAGTTGGTAGCTGACTAACCTCTACCACCGATTCCGCCACGACCCATAGCTCCACGCCCTAGGCCCCCTCTCCCAGGACCTCCACGACCTCGAACACCACCTCTTCTTAAGCCCATTCGGGGAGCTACGGCTCGTCCACCTCGGAGCAGGTTTTGACCTTGGAGAGGAGGCATACAATGTATATGCAGGTAAATCCAAGAGACACAAAAGTAGATTCTAACCAAAGGAAGGCGGTGAGGGTTAAATGAAGAGTAATTCAGTTAATTTTTAGTCTGGGTGGGGCAGTGTGAACAGGTTAAGCTACTCTTTATTCAACAATTCTGAACACAAATTCATCTACTAAAAAAGCTGGGATTTAAATTAATTAAGTATATACATTTAATAGGTAATTACTGAATAATGAGACATCTAGCATTATGGTAGGTTTTAAAATGCTCAACACATTCTTGTAGGGAACAAGAACTATATAAGGAACAGTCTAACAGTGCCCAAAATGTAAGATACACGTAAGTGCTATAGGTTAACTTGTCTTCTCTTTCTTCCAGATAAAACAGTGTTTCATTACCATCAGGAAGACAAGAGATGGCTAGTTATGATATAGGAAAAAAGACCCATACATTTTTCTTCCTTTCTTCTTTTTTTGGTGCTGAGGATTTAATCCAGGGCCTTGCACATGCTAACCATTACTCAGACTTACTTCTAGAACTTAAATGTGCTGTGATTCAAGCAGCAGCAGGGTGTTTTAAAATGGAATGGAGATGACATGAATTACCTGTTGTTATGCAAGTCATAGCCTCTCACCATTGCACATTATCAGAAAAGGAATGGTATTGATAAAAGACACGCAGCGTTAAAAATGTGATTTCAAGTTATTAATATTAATACAAATTCCGGATTAAAGATGCTAAACAAATGTGTCCATAAGCAGCCCAAGAGAAAAGGAAGGGGGTAGGGCCCAATAATAATCAGGCATATTTAACACTGACCTCGGAGCGACATCCCGCCCCTAAGTAGGGTTCTGGTGGCACGTCCCCCACGTAGTCCTCCTCTGGGCAAGCCTCTCTGGATTATGGGCAGGCCTCGTCCTCCAATTGCTCCCCTGGCCAAGGCCCCTATGGGTCGGCCTAACCGTGCCTGGATATTACTCTTACCCAGGCGCTGCTTTAAGCTCTTCTGGAAGAAAAGTGTTGGAGGATTGAGATCAAAAAAGCAATTCAGTGGGGCAATTCAAAGTGCAGAGAAAAAAGCAAGTGAGATGGCTGGTGTGAAGGAAAATAAACCTGCTATATCATAAAGATCATAAACCACAAACCTTTACCCCAGAACATGGAATAAATGAATTCTGATCCAGAGCAGAAACTCTTAAGAAACTTCAGTATGACCCCATGAAATTAGCGTCACTACAGATTACTTTACTAATCTGGCTACAAGTCATTCACTGCCAGCTGAGATTTAAGAACACCTGATGTGTTTGAACCACAGATTAACAATGATGTGACTCAATTCATACCTGCCCAAGGACTACCACTGTCTCCAAAGGCTTACTCAAACACCATAGGAAGTTCATCACACTCTGGGAAAAATTTAAATTTAAGTTCATTGAATTCGTGTGACTTAACAAGACTGATTTCTCAGTCAAGAGGCCAGTGTGCTCCATTTTTCCTTCGAGTTTATCTATCTCCAGATGGTCCAGTTTTTACCTTAAGAGGCAAATAAACACAAAAAAGTCAAACTTCTTTTCCTTACATTTCTTAAAAATCCCTAATTCCATGTCCACCCTTGCAAATAGCTCCCTTAAGCCAATATAATGATCTTTAATTGAAAATGAGCATAAAACTCAAATATATCTTCAGAGAACCAGCCAAACTTATGTTAGAATTAGGATAGGTGAGCTATAACCACAAAGGGCCATATGAGAATAAGGACATAGTACAGAAATAGATTTTCAATAATCTCCTCAGAGAAAAATTTCTGAAAATCTGAAAACCTCAGAGAATTTCAAAAGAAAAGGGACAATGGCCTTGAACACAACCAAGGCCCTAGCAAGCCCATTTTTCCATAAAACCATTGGTCAGTATGAATGGAAATAAATTTTGTGTCCTTAGACTCCACCCACAAGTGACCACCTATATGTGTGTCTGTGTGTGCATGTATATGTATGTATTTTTTCCCTCAATCATAGCCCTCAAAAAAGATGCTCTGAGGCATCATTAGCTTTCTAGCACAAAACCAAATTGCTTCTAATCAGAGGAAAGGCTATGAACATTATACACCAAGAACGGGCAAGTATAACAATAATAAGGGCCTGTTCTATCACTGTCCCAATCAGCACTCATTCATTCATTTTTGTGGTGCTAGGGATAGCTACTATGCTAGGCAAGTGCTCCATCACTGAGTCACATCCTTAGCACACAATCATGAAGCCAGAATCGCATTCCTTACTTCCCTCATGTTGTTATTCTGAGTACAACATATTAATTCTTCTAAGCTCTTTGCTTTAGGGAAGAACTACACAGTGCTGAGTTCTTCTTCCATCTCCAATTGCCACCAATCCTGACCTTAACTCAGTTTCAACTCCAGAGTTGTGCTGTATAAGGTAGCCATTAGCAACACATAGCTATTTAAGATTTAAACACTTTTTTTTTTTTTGATACAGTTTCACACAGCCTCCTGAGTTTGGGATTACAAGTGTGTGCCACCATACCCAGCCTAAAAGTAATTAAAAAAAAAAAGCCTCTCAATTGTACTTGTCACATTTAAAGCCTTTTTTTTTTTTTTGGGTGGGATTGAGGTTTGAACTCAAGGCTTCCCAGTTATAAGTGGGCACTCTACAACTTGAGCTACACCTCCATGTCACATTTAAAGTTAGTAGCAACATGTGACTACTGGCTATTGTATTAGATGGCAGACACAGAATGTTTCCATCACCAGCTACTGGATGGTGCTGCTCTAGAGACTTTCTATATAGCCTTATACTTAAAAGCTTCTTATTGAAAAGTCCTTTGGCATGATCTCCCAGAGATTTATCTTTAGCAGTTTTTGTTTACTTTTGGAAAGTGGTGGTGTCTTTTGCTTGTTTTCCTGAGTTAGGGACGGATCCAGTCACTCCAAGGCTTAAGGTAGATGAAGCAGAAAGCCTTGTTTATTTTTGGTCAGAAAGCCCAATGGTTCAGAATGGGGGTGGGAGGGTGTTATATTTAACTGCTGAATTTATGCACAGCCATGCAGTGCTACCAGTTAAAGTCCTTACAGTTGCATGGCATCGCCCTCCAGACGCCCAGCCACAGCTTGGACATATCCTTCCACAGCCACTGTCCGGACTTGCATATAAAGTCTATGAATAATAAAGAGCAGGTTTAATTTCAGGTCTGAATAAGATTATCTCTTATTGGAAATACTCTTGATTACTCAACACTCTTGTTCTATTGTACTAATAAAACTTTAGGTCACCATACTCTTTCTGTATTTTAACACCAGAAACCTTTAACTAAGGCTTTCAGACTCCCTGAGCTGAGAAAGAAAAACAATTATTCCCCTGGCTTGTAAATCATTTAACAGGGAGTAAAGAGTGCTTTGAAAACCTAAAAATACGAAGTTTCTGTTTCCTTTTTTAAAATGGCAGTGCTGGGGATCAAACCCAGGGCCTTCTTTTGTGAGGCAGGTCACCACTGAGTCACACTCACAATCCAAACAAAGTTTCTTTGTAGAAAATGATCCCTTTACTTTAAGGGTAAAAGATCAGAAAATGAGAGATTAATACTCACTGATAACACAATCAGGCCACACAGGTGGCAAAGAGAAAAATAATAAAAAAGTTACTTATTGGTACCTGACAAAATTGGAATTCTGAATTTTTCTTTCAGAGAAGTTTCAGTTTTTTCCCTGAGCCACCTTGTTATCATCCATCACGTCCTGCCAGTCTTGGTGGACTGCCTGACAGAGACCATCAGCTGCTTCAGGAGCATTAAGACCCATTCTCTCACCTGCTTAAGTTTTAATGCTGCCTGGACAGAGGGTCTATTCTCCATCTGCTGGGCCAGTCTTCTGTTTCTGGCACTGGCTAGCTGCTGTTGTTGCTGCATCGAAGCCCGAATATTCACTGGCATCGGCTGTTTGTTCTTCAGCATATTAGTAAAGCTTCAAGGTCGAACAAAATGGATGTTTAAATAAAAGCTTTATTACAAAACATTTATTGGCATTTTCATGGCTTGCTAGACCAGGAGCTCCAGATCCCACGAACTTTTAAGTAAAGTGGTACATTTAGATCAAGGCTGATGTGGGTTAAAGACTCCTCTGTTTCCACAAACTTGCAAGAATCAGAAACTTAGAAATGCAGCTAAGTGCAGCACATTCAATCAAAAGTGATAACAAGGGCTCAGGTAACAGCTCTTAAGAGAGGTGGAAAGTATGAAAAACACGCAATAAGCAGATATGATGACAAGAGACAGAAGATGTAGTTTCAAAGACAAACGAAGAAAGCTTAAACCTTGTGAGACTCAAGGGTTCACATTCTAAGGGCAAATATGAGGAAGGACTAGAACACCTTCAAAGCCCATAGAAATAATACACCCACATAAGTAGTAGGAGTGTTATCACTTTTAAAATATATGTGTCACTTAGTAACATGTGAATACAGATAAGTCATGTATCATATCCTAAGAGATAAGCACATATGCTTTGGAAAAAGCAAAAAGAGACATTAGATCTCTTTGAGTTCTAACATCAATTTGATAAAAATCAATGGTCAACAGCACTAAATGAACAAAGCTCTCAGAGATAGAAACTGCCTTTAAATACCTTAATTCTTCTTAGTTTCAAATGATCACCTTTTCTGACTGAGAATTTGAGAAAGTTAGATTAATGATTTCAAAGCCTGTGAAGACATTCCTCTATTATTCCTGTCATTGTTAACTTAATGGAATGAAAGAGAAGAACATTCAGCTGTTAAAAGAATCCAAAACAAACAAAGCAGAATGGAAAGAGAGTGAAATGGAGCAAAGCAAGTGCCTCTTACAAGGCCCAGGAATGACATTCGGGGGCCTTTGGACATATTCACGGCTTGCTACCTGCCTCTTACAGGCCAGACACAACACTGCTGGCCTTGGACTGGGCAGCAAACCTACTGCAGCCAGGGTATACCACGCCACCGTGCTGCACCACCCCTGTATCAATGTAAAAAAAAAAAAAAACTTGAAGAAAAGGGAGGGTGTGAGGAGTCTTTTTAAAATACATCCCACCAGGCAAATATTTCAGACAGCTTAACATAAAAATCTACTGATAAGGGGTTTTGAAACAACAGCCCAATTTGTTTTGTGTACCACATTAGATGCAACTAAGAACAGAGGTCTGTAGCCTACTGTTGGTATATTAGCTTACAACTGGTTTTTGTGCATTGGACCCCAGGGCCAATTTAAGTAATGTTTTCTTAGGAAGGAGCTGAAGTTGCTGTTGGCTGCCTCACCGCTCATTTAGAGACATCTTGGTGGTGCTTTTTAGCACAACTTTCGGCGCTGACTGTGCAGCCATCTTCAAATCCCGAGAATCTACAAAGGATCAAAATGTGGAAGGAGCAATTCAAAATAATGGCCATTTCATTTCTATCAGGGGCAAGGCCCAAACCAACAATCAATGAAAGGGTCCGTATCACTGACTTCTGAAGAGCATACCAAAATTCAGTTCAAGTGCTTTAAGTTTATGACAGTTGCTTCAAATCAAAAGCTTCAAGGCCACAGGACCAAAAAATCTGCCAAAGTCTCCAAAATTGCAGAACTACACGCGGCTAAAAGAAGTCTGAGTCTGGCTTTCAATCTAGTCAGCATAGGTCTTGCCAAGGAACATTAAAAAAAAAAAAAAAAAAGAAGCCCGGGCTGAGACCAATTAAAGTACAATCTCTGGTTCCCTTGAGGGTTAGGGATCCGCAATTGTAGAAACATTAAATAAAAAAAAAAAAAAAGGCAAGCTTGAGGCGGGCCTGCGCACCTTAGCGAAACCCTGCCTCCAAGTAAGCAAGGGTTGGCGACGGTAGCCCAGGGGTAGCGCGCTTGCGTCGCTCGCGCGAGACCCTGGGTTCAATCTTAAGGCCGGAAGAAACAAAACAAAACAAAACAAACCCCTAAACTCGTCGCTAACTCTTATAGCCTCCCTTTAATCTCCCCACCGTCCTGAGAGCCCCGTCAGGACACCCGACGTTGCTCGCCCATCTAACAACTCTCCTTGGCGTCCGCGGCCAACGTCACCTCCGAAGGTCCCGCCGCGCCGCGCCGCCAAGCTCCGCCCCGTCTCCGTCCACATCCCCCACCTCCCACGCCGCGCCCGGCCGCCTCTCCCGCTCCTCCACACGTCGCCCTCCTTCTCACCGCCAAACGCACCGAAGGAAACGGACGCCAGTGCTCCTCCCGGGGCTGCCACCACGGCTGCGGCAGGCGGGCCGGGGACCGGCCAAACCCGAGTTGACGGTGGAGAGACTCGGGTGAACTAGGTGGGCGGTTGGTTAGATGCGTAAGCGGTAGATTGCGAGGTTCGTTTGTTGTAGGCTACGGTGCCTAACCGGCCGATCCGCCTACTTGCCCGGCCTGCCTTTTTTCTGCTTTTGCCTATGTCACCACACCTGCCGCCACCAACTCCCGCTCGGTTTCCAAACAAAATGGCCGCCACGCCCAGTGCGGAGTGGGACCGGCTAAAATGGCGTCGACGTACTTACGTCAGGCGCCAGATGCACGCGCAACTAGGGGCGGGGGAAGTGTGCTACGCCTGCGCAGGAGCAAGAGGTGGAGCCTTGCAGGGAAGGAGTGTCCTTTCGAAGTTACCTTATGTGCTCCGCCAGTGGGGGCCGTGGTCAGTAGCTCTACTCCTGGGGTGGCTTCACTTTCAAGACTGGTTTGCTCTGCACCCTGATAGGGGTATACGTGATCTGGGTTGCAGAAAGCCGCTTCAGTCCGGATGAAAACAATGTATTCCCTCGTATTCCCACCCCCAAGTTGAGGAAGAATGTCTGAAAAATCTTTATGCGGGATTTGCCTCAATCTCTTCCTGACCTCCCAGACCTCGGTGATTTGCTGTGGCTCTCTCTTCATTCCCATTTGCCCTGTTCAGAGTTGTGCGAGGCATAAGCCGCAGCCAAGGTGCACAGGAGGCTAGTGTGGGTTCACGCCTCTAGCGGATCCTGCACCAGCCACCACAGCCGTCTTTATATTCCTCTTCTTGGCCTATCATTTAATCCTATTTAGGGGGACCCTTTGTGTCCCTGGCCCCCTCCAGTGCATTACCTTCCCACCTGCCAACCATGTAGATTTTGATGCAAACCTACAAAGGGATTTTTTTTTCCCTTCCTTTTTCTTTTTTTTAAATGCAGGGTCTCACTATGTACCCAGGCTGGTTCAAACTCAAGATCCTCCTGCCTCGGCCTTCAAGAGTGCTGGAATTACAGTCGTGTACCACCACACTTGCCTTTTTTTTGGGGTGGTTGTGGTGGTACTGGAGTTTGAACTCAGGGCTTTACTTGCAGTACATGCGCTCTACCAATTGAGTCATGCCTCTACCCAAAGGGGATTTTGTTATTGCTGGGTATAAAATAAAGTGTTCAAATGTTTACGGAATGAATGGAGACATCCTCAACCTTTCCTCTGCCCCATTCGGGCATCGGGGACCCTTTCATTTTCTCTACTGGCACTTACATGTATGGGAATATACATGTATGGGGTACATGTATTGCATCCTTGCTGGACCTCACCCAGCTGACTGCACAACATCTGTCTCATGGTAAGACCTCACTAAACATTGGTTGAAGATTGAAAGGAGATTCTTCTGGTTTTATCGTTGAGAAACTGATGCCTCTTCAACTTTCAGCTGGAACCTTGGTCCCCTACATTTCTGGGCCTTGAGTGGTCCTCAGGAAGGAAGATGTAATGCATATGAATTCTCTTAAAAATAAGGGGAGCTGGGAGTGAATAACCTTCCTTTCTCCACCACTTCCAGACCCCAAAGGAGACAGACACTGAAGGCTGGCGAGAGAGAAGCCTTTAATGAAATGAGCTGCAGGCCTGGACTGCCACTTGTGCGCCCTGTGTGTTTTAAAGGGAGTGGGGAGGGATAGGTGGAGTGAAGCGAAAGCTGGGTGAAAGGCAGGTTGGAAGGGTGGAGGGGAAGGGCGCTGCACACTGTGCCTGTGTGCTTAACTGTTCTCCCAGAAGAAGTTGTTACAAGCCACTGTGAGAGCAGCCACCAGCACCACATACTCTTGGAAGTCCACTTCCCCATCTCCATTCTCGTCTAGTTCCTTCATCACCTTGTCCACAGCATCTGCGTCCTTCTGGGTCTGTGGAGGGAGAAGAACAGGGAGGCATATAGGGAGGTAAACACTACTCAGTCAGGAGTGAGGAGGGTGGTGAGGAAAGTGGGTCAGAGATCAACAAGAAGGAGAGCACCATGTAAGTATGAGTCTTCTGCAGCCCTCCTCAAAACTGGTGGCCTCCTATTGCCTACAGAACAAACTCCTAAACTTGGCAGAGTTAATAACATCAGTTTTCATAGGTTGGTTATCTACAGTGTGGCAAGAGCACTACACTAGGAACCTTTCATGCATGTCTAGTTTAATTCTAATGCAAATACTCTGGCATCTATTTCCATTCTAAAGAAGAAACAAATTGACAGTGGTTAAATAAATGTGCCCAGAATCACAGAGCCAGAAAGTAGCAGGGCCAGAATTTAAGTGAAGTCTACTAAAACCTCAAAGTGTGCTTTCTACTGTATTGGAAGGTTTCGTTACTACATGGCCCCTGCTAGTATTTGCAGCCTATTTCTTTACTTCCTCCAGTCAAATGAAGCTACTGGGCATTGTCTACATTCTTTTTCCCATGCGTTTGTTCATTCAGATATCTCTTCAAATGTCTTAATGTACTCCATAATCTTCCAGTGGAAAGTCATTGATCAAGTGCCACCTCTGCAGAAAAGCCATGTCACTTCAGTCATTTTACTAATCTCCACAACTCTTTTGCTGGCACCTCTGTTAAGGCTCTATATTTCCTGAAGTTCATGGTTTACTTCCAAGACTCATTATTTCTCTTCTAGACTGTAAGTCTTGTTATTGATGAACCTGCACAGGGCCTAACACTTAACAGGTGATCAATAAACTACAGCATTTTGACCCAGGAGGAATAGGGGAGCCTGGAAGAACCCAGGTGAGAAGCCTGGGAGAGCTGAGCTGGGAGTGAGGTGGGGAAATGACAAGGGAGTGGCCTCCCCTTGCCCACTGTGCCCTGCACTCCAGCCCCTCGCCCACTCCATCCTGTACCCCCCCCCATTCTGTGCTCACATCCAGGAAGCCGGAAAGCTCGGTTTGCAGCAGTTCTTTCAGCTCCTTCTTGCTCAGCTTGTACTTGTCCCCCTCCTTGCCCGAGTGGGCGTGGAACACATTGATGAGAGTCTCCATCGCAGTCTCCAGTTCAGACCCCATCACAGCAGCACACCTACCCCCCACCATGGAAGTGAGCTGGGGTCCAGGACAGAGTATCTGGTTTCAGCTGAGGGGAGCCCCCTCAGGCCTGGTCCTGGTTTCATAGCTCTGTGAGACCGCAGCCCCACTGCAGTTTGATCTTTCACGCCTAAATCCATTCCTGTGCTCTGTGTTCCTCCATTCCTACCCTAACCAGAGGACGTCAGAATTGGGTCGGGAGAGTGAGCTGGGTTGGCTCCAGAAAGACAGCAGTGAATGTCTGTAGTGGCTTCTGGCTGACTGGGCATGCAGATTGAGGAGGGTGGGGCAGGCAGGGGTGGTCATAGGACCAGGCGGACTTCTGACTCTATTTTTAACCCTAGACCTAGCATCGCCAAACTCTGCTGCTGGGGTTGGTGGGTTCAGGGTTTCTACTGCCTTGACTCTGCTGCCCACCTCAGTAAGAAGTTAGTCAGTTACTGGTAGTGAGCCTGAGAGAAGGGTGGCAGCTTAAGTGAAAGGCCTAAGTCTTCTTGGACAAGGGACTCTGCCTCTGAGCTTCTAGCCAGCAGCCTGGGGGCCTCTGTTGGTTCTTCGAATCCCTTCTCTCTTCAACATGTCATTTTGCTTCTCTGGGTTATGCCTCCCATTGCCTCCAATTTGAGTCCTCTTTTCTGCAAAATTATCCCTTCCATCAGGAGCAGGTAGAAGAGAGAGAGGAACGTCTGCTCTGAGCTGTTTCCTTAGAGCTGGGGCTTCCAGGGAGGGGGTAGAGGAAACCTGTAGGCCTTTTTCCTCTTGCTGCCCACTCCCACCCCCAGGCTGCTCTGTTGATGTGGGGACAGTGGGAGCAGGAGGATAGGGCTGGTATGTGTTGGGGGAGATAAAGGGCTAAGTGCATAAGGGCCTTTGAGTTTAAGGGACTGGGAGAGAGCAGAAGAATGGAGGGGTCTGTTGAGGAGAGGAGACTGCCAAGTCAGGGGGCCTCTGTCCTTTGGCCCTGGGACAGTTGGGCCTTCTCCAGCCCCAGAAGGCAGTTCAGGTGTCTCAGATCAGGTGTCCCCATCTTTCCCCAGGCCTGGGGGGCCGGACAATGGGTCCTGATCAGATGACATCCCAGCTCTTCAATGGGGCCCTTGTGAGTGTCACCTGAACTCTGGACATGAGAAGTGGTTGTCACAGAGACATAGGGGGATGGAACTCAAGCCAGCACTGATGAAAGGGATAAAGCGGTGCTCCAGGGGGTGATGCCGTGGTTCGGTTACCAAAGCCGTTAAGGAGGGGCCCTGGAGGTTCCCTGGAGCCCTCCAGGAGCATGAGGGTTTTTTTTTTTTTTTTTTGTGGGAGCAGTTCTGGGAGGAACTGGGCTGGGCAATGGGAAAACAGGAAAGAATTTGGGGAAAGGAGTCGGGGTCTGGGCTGAGAAAGGGGAGGAAAAGAAAGAGGAGGTCCTGTGAAGGTACAGTGGGGAGGGGGCGCAGTGACCTAGGCCCCCTCTTCCTGATATCATATTGCCCATGCTCTGCCACCCCCAGAGTTTCCTGGGACCTGGCTCTTGGCAAAGCTGGGTGGGGGTGACAGAGACAGAGGCTGGAGGGGGGGGCAGGAACAGCTGTTCTGCTCTCTTATTCTTACCCCAAAGGAAGTAAAGTGAGGGCTGTGTCCCCTCCCCAACTCCTGGGAGACTGGGGGCCTTGGCAGGGCACACAGGGGCTCTGTGTGGGAGGGCTGGTGACCTGGAAGCTGGGTGGTGGGTCCTCACTGGGGTGCTCATTTCCTGGACTTCCACCTCTCCCTCTGACCTTCACTTGCCTCCCCTTCCTGCCTTCCAAATTGTCTCTTCCAGATCCTATACTGCCCCTACCCTGACTAACTCCTCCCAGACCCTCAGTGCCATCATCCCCTGGATCTTGGAGCCCCTCTGAAGTCCCCCTTTCCCCAGGCTGGCCAAGTCAGGGACCTAGCACAGGTTAGGCAGGATACTCACAGTAGGCCTGCGTCTGAGGTGGAAGCAGGTTCTGGACAGACAGACAGGCTGCAACTGTGGCTCCTGGAGCTGTGTGGGGAGACCTGTCTTTAGCGGTTCTTCCCCCCACCTGCCCCCGCACCCCCCCACCGGCTCCACCCCTTCACAGTCAGACACCCGGTGAGGCAAGGGGCCAGGAGCAGACAGAGGCGCCCTCTGTCTCCTGGGCTGGAACAAGCTGCCTTGTGTCTCTTCCTTGGCCTTGGTTGCCGCCCCCTCCCATTGGACAGCAGCAGCTGAGCACAGGAGGAAGGAGGTGGGGGAGGGAGGTTCTGGGACGGACATTGAGATGTCTCACCCCAGCTCTGCTGTGCAGCCCCTGAAGCTGGTTGTGCAACTGCGCAGGGGAGGGGCTCCTCAGTGTGAGTACTTTGGTTTTAGAAGTCTCTCTCAGGGGGTTTCTGTCTGAGAACTCAATGGGATTCACCCTGAGGATTTTTTATGGGACACCAGCTGTTACTACCTCTGTTTGTGGGGCCTCAGTCTGGGGTTCTCAGGAGGATTTGGTCTGCAGGGTCCTTTGTATTACCCTGTGGCATTTCTCAGATGGGGCTTCTCAGTGCTTAGCTCCCTCGGCTGTGTTTTTCAGTCAGTACTTACCCCACCCCAAGAGATTGGCTCCTGATTTGCTGTGGGTGTTTGTAGGGGGAGAGAACCCTAGGACTCCTGCAGAACAAGGTTCGTCCAGGCAGCCCCTGCCCCCTTGGGGGCATGCGTGCGACTGGCTTGGGGCAGCTGGCATTCCAGTCCTGATTGCAGGGAGGAGAGGCCTGATTGGACAGTCCCCCTCTTCAGAATCAACGGGCGGAACTTGACACCTCGGCTTGGGAGTGGCTGTCCTCTCTCCCTGGCACTTATAAACTTCAGCCCAGAGGCTCTTGCTCGCTGCACCCCATCTCCTTGCCCTGGTGAGTTGCATCCTCCAGACCCTGGAGAGAGTCTAGGGATCCTTTTTCTCCCTCAGCTCCCAGTTCCCTCTCCCAGTGCCAGTTCAAAAGGGATCCAGGAAGTGGCTTTGGGAAAGCAAATGATAAAATGATAGTCCTGGCAGGAGTGAGTGAGTGAGTGAGTGAGTGAGTGTGTGTGTGTGTGTGTGTGTGTGCGCGCGCGCGCGCGCGCGTGGTGGTGGTGGTGGTGGTGCTATGGATGGAAATGAGAGGTATCAGTGGGCATGTCCCCTTCCTCCAGCCTTTCCTTGTCCCCTCGGGCTGTGAGTGCTGGACCAGTTGTGGGTTTGGGGAGTCAGAGAAGTCCCAGTGCAGGACCTGTTGTCTGGAGATGGGAGTGGAGAAGGTCTGTGGGTTTCTGGGCTCAGCTGCCCTAGAGGAGAGGAGGGTGGGGAAGCAGAGAAGATGGGGCTATCCAGACTGAGCCAGCCCTGACCACTGGGTCTCTGCCAACCCTGGGCTTCTCTGCCCTGCCGGGAACAGCAGTCGGTGTGGGCGGGCTGAATGCAGGAGGGTGGAGACCCAGGTCCCAACATAAACAAGCTTTGGAGACAAACCACCTCCTGACCCTTTGAAACTGAAAGAGACAACAAGGAGGGACCCAGGAGCTCCACAGGAGAGGAGGTGGGGCTGTCATATTTAGAAGACTCCAAAGATGAACCCCAGACTGAAAACCTCCTCCCAGATACAGGAGTCTGCACACTGAGCAATCACCACAGAGGCAAACCTAAGATAGACACTTATAAAGGGCACCCAGACTGTGAAAAAGGGGTTTCTGAAACTGAAACGAAGCTGAGATATTATTGCCTGGTCCCCTGTTTCAAGCTCAACCCTTGTCCCCTCTGCCTTTCCTGTCCTGCAGGTCAGCCCTCAGGACATCAGTTTCAGCCCCAGGGTTCTAATGGCAGCCGAGCCTTTGACAGAGCTGGAGACAGCCATCGAGACAGTGGTCACCACCTTCTTCACTTTTGCAGGGCGGGAAGGCCGGAAGGGCAGCCTTAGCATCAATGAGTTTAAGGAAATGGTCACCCAGCAGTTGCCGCACTTGCTCAAGGTTGGTGGAGGTCTCTGGGACTGAGATTTTGTAAGACAGTGATTATGGAACACTGTGTGGGAGGCGATATGCTGAGTAAATATGTGACCCTAAGAAAGGATGGGAGGATGTATAGATGGGTTTTCCTGCCTGACTAGTGCATGCATGTGTGTGTGTGTGTGTGTGTGTGTCCAGGTAAGCAAAGATGCTGTCTGTGTAAGCTGGAATGTGTTACTGGGCTCTGTGCTACCATCAGTGATGCTGTTGGATTCTTGTGTCTGCTTGTGCCTCTGTGGTCTCCCAAACACAGGACTGGACCCAGAGTTGGATTCCAGAAGATTCACAGACCGTAAGAGCTAGAAATTTCACTGACTCTGGGTTTGCATTCATTCTCAGCTATTAATTACATCCTTTTTGAAAATTCACAGGCACATAACAGTGTGTGAATACGGGTTTTTGAAAAACAAAATGAGTCTCTGAAACATAATCTTTGATCTGCAAAATCCCCTATATCCTCCTACTTCTTAGAGTTCTCCTTTACTTTTTTTGCAGCAAACATAGAAGAGTGACTAAGTTTTCTTCCAAATTCAATCCCTCTGGGCCTGGAAAAGGAGGAAGTGACCTCTTTGCTTTCACGTGGCATTTCAACTTCTTACACTTCTCACTTATAAAGACCTGTCCTCCTGCATCTCAGCATCCTGCTCCTTTGTTTATGTTTACCAAGATCTCATATCAATGTCAAGTTTCCTTTTATCAGATGACCTCTTCTGTCATTCCAATTCCTTCAGTCTCTCTCTGTCTCTTTCTTTTGAGCTCTCTCTTTTGAGTCATATTCTTGTTATGTAGTTACTATGCTTGGCCTACCTTCCAGTCTCTTGCCCCATCATTTTCCATCATCATCCTTCATCTCTTCATTTCTCTTCTTCCTTAGCTCATGTTCTAAGACTCATCATTATAATTGCTCCTTCAACCTCCTTGATTCTGTCTCTCTCTGTCCTAGTTGTTTGGCAGAATCCCAACCTTGGTGAAATCTAACATTTCACCTGTATTGACTTGCTGATTACAACTACCGTCTATGCCTGCACTTGGATAGCCGAATTTGGCTGAAGGAAAACAAACAGCCATGTGGGCTTATCTCATTTTAAATCTATAACCACAAACTCTAAAGGGACCTTGGCAATGCCTGGCAATTCTACTGTATTGACCAGCTTTTTTAGATGATCGTTTCACCGCTTTTCCTTCCTCCTCAAATTCTGGTACCTTATTCCACATTCTCTCTGCCACTGGGAATTTACTCACTGAGAAAATACAGGCAATTGGGAAAGTTCTCTGTGCTTCCCCTACCCCCAAATCTACAACCAGATCAGCACATACCCTGCCTTCCTTCCTGTTTTCATGAATCAATCTGTCTCAGCTCCTCTCCTGATGCCCTGAATCCCATCCCCTTTCACCTACTTAAAAGACTTTCCTCTTGCAATGATTCTTCTCTCTCTTGTATCATCCAGTTTTCCTTCTTTACTGGATCATTTGTATAAACTTACAAATATGCCATCATTTTTCTCATCTTATTTATTTATTTATTTTATTATTCATATGTGCATACAAGGCTTGGGTCATTTCTCCCCGCTGCCCCCACCCCCTCATCTTATTTATTTTTTGAGGCAAGGTCTCACTGTGTAACTCAGGCTGGCCTTGATCTCATGGTCCTCTTGCCTCAGACTGACTCCCTGAGTTCTGGAATTCCAAGCGTGCACCACCACCATACTAGCTCAGTATTTCCCATCTTAAAAAAGAAAGAAAGAAAGAAAAGAGCTGGATGCCAGTGGCTCATGCCTATAATCCTAGCTACTCAGGAGGTAGAGATCAGGAGGATTATGGTTTGAAGCCAGCCTGAGCAAAATAGTTCAAGAGACCCTATCTCGAAAAAAAAAACGCATCACAAAAAAAAAGGCTGGTGGAGTGGCTGAAGGTATTGGCCCTGAGTTCAACCCCCAGAGCTGCAGAAAAAGAAAAAAACCCAACCAACCAATCCAACAAAACTCCCTGACCCTACATCTCCTTCCATTTATATTATATATTTCTGTTCTCTTTTATAGCAAAACTCTGAAAAAGCAATAAGAGAAATTTATACTTATTGTCTCCACTTTTCCTCACCTGGTCCAGAATGCTCATCTCCTGGGTACTTGCTGGGTTTATTCCTCATTTAATTCAGATTTCTGCTCAAATGGCAAATCCTCAGCATAGTCTTACTTCACTATTGACTGCGAAGATCCCCTGTATTGGGCTGTCTTCCTTTACCTGCAGAACTCATCCTTCGTAACTTGACCTTTCTTATATACCAGGAATGCATGTTTCAATGAGGAAAGGAATTTGTTAATTGTTTTACCTCATTGTTTAAGCAATGTCTGAAGCAGTAAGTCGGTACTCAGTAAAATATTAAGCGACTGTCTTAGTTGGTTTGGGCGGCTATAAAAAAATAAGTGCTGTAGATTAAGTGGGTTATAAACATCACACATTTATTTCTTACAGTTCTGGAGCCTGGAAGTCCCAGATGGAGGCACCAGCATGATTAGGCTAAATTGAGAACCTTTTATGGGCTGTAAATGTTGTGTTCTCCCTTAGGGGTGGGGGAAAAGCTAAAATGCTGGGGCCTTTGTTTATTTTCTGGCAGTACTGGGGTTTGAACTCAGTTCCTCAACTTGTTAAGCAGACACTCTACCACTTGAGCCATTTCCCCAGCCTGTTTTGCGTATTCAGATGGGGTCTCCTGAGGCTCAGACCACGATCCTACCTATGCCCTCCAATAGGTGGGATCACAAGTCTATGTTACCATACTCAGCTTATTGATTGAAATGGAATCTTGCTAACTTTTTGCCTGACCTAGAACCTCAATTCTCCTGCTCTCTGTCTCCAAGTAACTGGAATTACAGGTGTGAGCTACCAAACCTGGCCACATTTGTTTTTGTGAAGATAGGGTCTTACTGTGGTACCCAGGCTGGACTCGAACTTGATATTCTCCTGCCTTGGCATCCAGACTGCTGGGATTGCAGGTGTGTACCACTATGCCTACCTGGGGTCTTTTTTATAAGGGTGCTAATCCTGGGCTGGTGTGGAATCACACATCTATAATCCTAGCTATTCTGGAGGTGGATAGAGGAGGATCTTGGTTTGAGGCCAACATGGGCAAAAAAGTTAGTGAGATCCAATCATGAAAAACAAGCTGGGAGGGCTGAGGGAGTGGCTCAAGTGGTACTATGCCTTCCTAGCCAGCATGAGGCCCTGAGCTCAAACCCCAGAACCACCAAGAAATAAAGAAAGACAAGCTGGGTATGGTGGCCTACTTCTGTAATCCTAGCTAGAGGCAAGATAGGAGGATTTAGGTCTGAAACTAGCCACTAGGCCAAAGCAGAGACCCTCATCTGAAAAAATAAACAATAAAAAAGGTTGGGCTGACAGAGTGGTTCAATTGGTAGAGCACCTGCCTAGTAAACAGGAGGACCTAAGTTCAAACCACAGTACCACCAATTTAAAAAAAAAAAAAAAAGTGTGTGGGTTGTGGGTATGGTTTAAGTGGTAGAACATTTGCCAAACAAGCTCAAGGCCCTGAGTTCACATCCCAGTGCTGCCAAAAAAAAGTAGCAATGCATATAGGATATTTTCCCATTTTAAAAAATGGTGTACTGAGCCTGCGCCAGTGGCTCATGCCAGTAATCCTAGCTACTTGGTGCTGAGAGCAGGAGAATTGTGGTTCAAAGCCAGCCTAGGAAGATAGTTTGAGAGATTCCATCTCCAAAATAACCAGAGCAAAATGGATTGGAGGTGTGGCTTAAGCAGTAGAGTGCCTGCTTTGCACACATGAAGCCCTGAGTTCAAGCCTAGGTCATCCCCCCACACACAAAAAAAATGCCTTGTATCATATTTTATAGGCTTAATACTACACTAAAAGTATTTTTGGTGGACATTTATATTTCTTCTGTGAACTGCTTGTTTCTTTATTTCTTTTTTTTTTTGCTTGTGCTATACTAGGATAGAATGGGCCACCTCAGTAGCTTCTGAGACTAATACATTCCTGTTGCCACAATTTTGTTTGTTTCTTTTATCAAAGAGTTCATTATAGCTCTTTGTAGAATAAGAAATTAGTCTTTTGTTTATTATATATGTTGCAAATATTTCCCTCTGATTTTCCCTTTGTCCTTTTTTTATTTTCTTTTTATAGTACTTGGGTTTAAACTCAGGTCTTCCTGATTACAAATCAAAGTGCCCTTTGTCCTTTGAGTTTATGTTTTGCTAGTTTTTGCCAAGTAGAATGTAAGAAATTTTCATGTAGTCAAATCTATCAAAAATTTCCTGACTAGTTTCTTTCTTTCTTTTTTTTTAATTGTTTTATTATTCATATGTGCACACAAGGCTTGGGTCATTTCTCCCCCCTGCCCCCAACCCCTCTCTTACCACCCACTCCGCCCCCTCCCGCTCCCCCTCACCCCCTCAATACCCAGCAGAAACTATTTTGCCCTTATCTCTAATTTTGTTGAAGAGAAAGTATAAGCAATAATAGGAAGGAACAAGTGTTTTTGCTGGTTGAGATAAGGACAGCTACACAGAGAGTTGACTCACATTAATTTCCTGTGCGTGTATGTTACCTTCTAGGTTAATTCTTTTTGATCTAACCTTTTCTCTAGTTCCTGGTCCCCTTTTCCTATTGGCCTCAGTTGCTTTTAAGGTATCTGCTTTAGTTTCTCTGCGTTAAGGGCAACAAATACTAGCTAATTTTTTAGGTGTCCTGACTAGTTTCTATTTCCTTCCTTCCTCCCTCTCTTCCTCCTTTCCTTCCTTCCTTCCTTCCTGTGTGTGGGAATGCTAGAGATGAAACCCAGGGCTTTGTGTATGCTAAGCACATTCTGTATCACTGGGCCATACCTCCAACCAGGGTATGTTTTATGTCATCATAGAAAGACCCTCCTCCCACAAAAAAAAAGGAACTCTCATATACTGTTACTAGGAATGTAAGTTAGTGCAGCACTATGGAAATCAGTAAGGAGGTTCCTTTACTTATTAATTTCATTTTTTGCAGTACTGGGGTTTGAACTCAAAGCCTAAACCTTGAGCCACTCCACCAGCCCTTTATTCTGACGGATTTTTTTGAAATAGGGTCTCTTGAATTATTTGCCTGGGCTGGCTTCAAACCACGATCCTCCTGATCTTTGACTCCTGAGGAGCTAGGATTATAGGCATGAGCCACTGGCACTTGGCAGGATTCTTTTTAACACAATAAAATATTACTAAAATTCTTGAAAACTAAACATGTAAGATTTGCTAGTAAATTCTGAAATATAAGAATGATGAGTGAGCCAATCCTATAAATATTAAACCATATTATAAAGCTATAGTGATTAAGCCAACTTGTTGTAGATAAATAATAAATAGACAAATGAAACAGAGACTCAAAATACACATGGAAATTACATAAATAATAAAGCTGCTATTTTGCATCAGTAGGAAAATTTTAGTAATAAATTCGTCTTTTTAATACGCTAAATTTGGAGAATGTTTTTAAAATTATTTCTCAGCATATATTAATTGTATAACATGGAGGCAGAGATGAGGAGGATTGTGGTTCAAAGCCAGCCGGAGCAAATAGTTATCTTGAAAAAAACCTTCACAAAAAAGGGATGGTGGAGTGGCTCAAGGTGTAAGCCCTAAGTTCAAGCCCCAGTACCGGAAAAAAAAAAAAAAAAAAAAGAAGTGTTCTGTGTTGGATCCAGGTGTGGTAGTGAGTACCTGTAATCCCAGCACTCTGAAGGCAGAGGCAGGAGGATTGGGAGTTCAGTGCCACCCTGGGCTACATAGTGAGTTCAAAGCCAGCTTAGGCTATAGAGTGAGTTCAAGGCCATCCTGGGCTGCATAGTGAGAACCTACCTCAAAACAAAACAAAAACAGAACCCAAAGAAGTGTCCTGTGTTGAGTGTGAGGAGAGAGAAAAACATTTGTTTTTTACCTTTACAGTTCTGTGGTTCATTTTTTTTTTTTTTTGTGGTACTGGAGCTTGAACTCAGGGATTACACCTTGAACCACTCCACCAGCCCTTTTTTGTGATGGGTTTTTCGAGATGGGGTCTCCTGAACTATTTTTCCAGGGCTGTCTTAGAACCTCCATCCTCCTGATCTCTGCCTCCCGAGTGGCCAGGATTACAGGTGTGAGCCACTAGCACCTGGCCTTAGCCTATATTTATTGAGTACTTATTCTTCCCTGTCCTGATGCTGTCCTGGGCTTTAGTTACAGTGGTGACAGGCTTTAGCTATGTGCCAAAACTTCTCCCAGGCACTGGTGAGCAGATGGACAAGGCCCCTATGCTCCTAGAGGCTTTCATTGTAGTAGATCATGAAAAACAAATGAAATAAAACTTAGGATGTATTTTAGGTAGGGCAATGCCTAGAATTAGGAAATTAGGAATGGTTATACTAGCCATTCTTACCTTCTGCACTGCTTATAGTATTTTACAATTAAGCATGATTATGATTTTTTTGTTGTTGTTGGTATTGGGATTTGAACTTAGGGCCTCATGCTTTCTAGGCAGGCACTTTACCACTTGAGCCATTCCACCAGCCCTTTTTTGTGCTGTGTATTTTATTTATTTATTTATTTTGGTGGGACTGGGATTTGAACTCAGGGTTTGGTGCTTGCAAAGCAGGCACTCTACCAATTGACCCACATCTCCAGCCCATTTTGCTCTGGTTATTTTTAGAGATGGAGTCTCGAGGAGAACTCTTTGCTAGGGTGGCCTCGAACTGTGATCCTCCCAATTTCAGTCTTCTAAGTAGCTAGGATTACTGGTATGAACCACCGGTGCCTGACTTGTGTTGGGCATTTTTGAGATAGGGTCTGGCTTTTTGCCTGTGTTGTCCTTGAATGGCAGTCCTTCTGATCTCTGCCTCCCAAGTAGCTAGGATTACATTTATGAGCCACCAGCGCCCAGCTAACAATGAACATTTGTTTTGTTTTGTTTTATTTTGGTGGCACTAGGGTTTGAATTCTGGGGGTCATGCTTGTTAAGCAGGCATTCTTAGGGCTTAAGCCACTCTGCCTTTTTTGTGATGGCTTTTTGTGGGCGGGGCTGGTTTTGGATCCTCCTGATCTCTGCCTCCTGAGTAGCTAGGATTACAGGCCTGAGCCAAGGTGCTGTGCTAACAATCAACTTTTTGATTGTGATTGTTGATCTGGCAACAAATCCTCTTATCATGAAGTCTGACTTACATTATCTTTTGATTTCATAAGCCCACCATGAGAGACTATATCAAGGGCTCCCTAGAAAATCAGATACCCTATGTGTTTGCTATTTCCCTGATCTACCAGCAGTTACTGAACTGGATACAGAGAAGTCTTTAGGTTTATTCAAGTGCACAGATAAGCACTGTGAAGAAAGAGGGTAGCCTAAGAAGGCTCCAGGGGAGGTCAGACTGGATCCATCTCTATAAGGGCTCCTTGAGTGTTCTTGGGCAGCCTCATGGTTGGTGTAGTGCTGTGCTAAAACCATCTCTGGTAAGAGCAGATTGTGCTCATCCCTTCCTAGCTCTGTATTCATTATCAAATTTATAGTTCATGATGGGCCATGGTGTCTGCTGGTGCCCCTTGGGGTGGTGACCTCGGGGCAAGACACTCTAAGGGCTGTAGCCTCATCTGTAGGTAAGGGGCAGGTACTGGTGCTCTCTAAGGGAAAGCAACTGGGAATTCTTCTCTGCCTCCCTGTCTCAAGAGCCCCAGTTTCCAGCCCTATTCTTTCCTTCTGTATCTCCTCAGGATGTGGGCTCCTTAGATGAGAAGATGAAGAGCTTGGATGTGAATCAGGACTCGGAACTCAAGTTCAATGAGTACTGGAGACTGATTGGGGAACTGGCCAAGGAAATCAGAAAGGAGAAGGCCCTGGAGATCCGGAAGAAGTAAAGCCTGCTGGCCAGGATGGGGGTGGGTAGGGCAGGGCTGGGCAGGGCCAGGCAGAACCCCACTCCCCCCAAATAAAGCTTCCCCCTTGAAACACAAATATTTCTTATTCACACACCACACTGATTTCTTCTTGTGAGACCAGGAGTGAACTGGTCTGAACTGAAGTGAGTGAAAAGTATGAGTTCCTTGAAGATAAGGAATGTACAGATATCCTACAGCATTTAGCACCAGGTCTTTTTTTTTGGGAGGGGGGGCAGTGTTGGAGATTGAACTCATGGTCTTGTGCTTGATAGGTAAGTGCTGTATGATTTGAACCATGCCTCCAGCCTTCTCCCCTATTTTTCAGTGCTGGGGATTGAACCCAGGGTCTTGAGCATGCTAGGCATAGCATTAAATATTGTACTACTCAGGTGCTCAATAAAGTAATGGTTGAGTCGGGTGCTGGTGGCTCATGCCTATAATCCTAGCTACTCAGGAGGCAGAGATCAGGGGGATGGAAGTTCGAAGCCAGCCGAAGACAAATAGTTCAAGATACCCTATCTCGAAAAAAATAACCATCACAAAAAAAAAAAGCTAGTGGGCTGGTGGAGTAGCTCAAGGTATATGCCTGACTTTCAAACCCTAATACTGAAAAAAAAAAAAGAAATGGTTGAAGGGTTGGAGGTGTGACATAGGTGGTACAGCACTTACCTAGCAAGCATAAGGTCCTACGTTCAAACCCTGGTAACTCCAGTAAAAATAAATAAATAAATAAATAAATAAATGGTTGATGAGTGAAAAATACAGAAATCTGGGGCAGGTGAGGTGACTCCTACCTCACTAGGTGACTTCTGGGACTCGGCTATATGGTTCTGCCTCCCAGTTTTTCCAGTTTTCCTCCTATCATGTCTGGAGCTGGTCCTCTGGATGATGATAGCAGTGAACATGTCTCAAGGGTTTACTACAGCTGGGCATATGCTCACATCTGTATTCCTGGCTACTTGGGAGGCAGAGATCCAGAGTATGGCAGTTTGAGACCAGCTGGGAATAAAAGTGAGATCCCATCTCCATCAGTAATCTGGGGGGGTTTACGTGGTAGAGTGCCTGCCTAGCAAACTCAAGGCCCTGAGTTTAAACCCCAGTACCACAAAAGTGAAAAGAAAAAACAAAACAAAAACCTGGGTATGGTATGTAGCTGTCATCCCAGCTACATAGGAGGAATAAATAGGAGGATTGTGGTCCAGGCAAAAACGAGGAACACTATCTGCAAAATAACTAAAGCAAAAAAGGGCTGAGGGCATGGCTTACATGGTAGAGTGCCTGCTTAGCAAGTTGGAGGTCTTGAGTTCAAACCCCAGTATTGCCGAAGGGGAAGTGGGGGAAGGGCACACCATGTGTTAGGCACAGGGCTAAACATTTTACCTATATTATCTTAGATAATTCTCACTGCCCTTTAAGTAGTATTTTTAAGTCTTGTACAAAAGATGAGGAAACATTTTTTAGAGTGGTTTAGTTACAAAAACAAGAGCTGCTGGAGCTAAGTGCAATGGCTCAGATCAGTAATCCTGGTACTTGGGAGGTAGAGACAGAAGAATCAGGAGTTATAGGATTGTGTGTGCTACACTGTCTCAAACAAACAAAGTAGCTGGAACTGGGTTGAAATTTCAGGGCCTCTAATTTATGGGGGTAGGGCTGTGGAGTGGAGGGGAGTCTTTGCTGGTGTGCATTTGGGAACACTAGACCTTCCTCTGCACCTTCCTCCACAGCAGGGCTGATGCAGAAAGAGGAGGGACTGGGAAGGTGCTGCTCGAGGATGGTGGGGCGAAGGTGCAGTGATGTTTCAGGGAGCAGCACTTGGTGCACAGCTCTGCAGCTGTTGCTGTCCTTCTGGGGCTGAGGGGCATGTGGTTCACACAACTTGCCACGAGAGAGAGCAGGGGTAGGGCAGCGATGTAGGGCTGCTTCCTAGGGCTGTCATTGCTGTACCTAAAGGTGTCCACATGGGGCAGAGAGCAGTCCAGGGCAGTTAGGCTGAGACAAGCTCCCCATTACACACAATGGAAGGGTCCCTGATGGAGACCTCCCATCCAAGGCCCCCAGAGTCCTCAGTGGGACCCCAGGCTGAGGGACACTTAGAAAATTCCTGATATGGAGAACTCCTCAGAAAAGTCCCCAGATTGAAGTCTTTCAGAGGAGCTCTCAGAATGACACCCTCTAATTGAAACCAAAAGTATAGGAGAGCCCTAGAAGGTGACATGGGGACATACACTCTGATTTTAGAGTTTAGGGAAGGATCCTTTGCTCCTGGGCCTCACCCTATCCTTGATGACCCCATGCTGACTCCACTGCCCTTCCTTCTACCCTGTCCCCATGAGTTTATGTTCCAGGCCTCTGTGCCTGGGCAGGTGCGGAAGGTCACTTAGGTTGGGCTCAGTCTCAGGAAGTACAGTGTAGGCTCCCTGGGGTGACATCTTGGGTATTGGATTGGAGAGCAGGTACTGAGGTGTAGTTGCTAGGTCAGGGAAGACTTGGGACTCTGAGGGAGGGAGGAGATGCAGCCCAACCAGTTTGGAGAGGTCGTTAGCTGCCAGGTAACTCATTTGGGCTTTGCACATGTGCGCTCTGGGCGTCTGCTGGGAGTGTCAGGAAGTCAGGTCAACATGCTCTGTGTGGCTTCCTCGCTTTCTACCAGGTTGCCCTTCTTTGGTTCTTCCTCCTTACCGCTTCATTCATCTGTCTGCCATCAGTCTGGGCTCTGCATCTGGATAGGCTTGACCGTTACTATCCAAATTGACCTTGGTTAGAAGGAGAGAGAGAGAGAGAGAGAACGAGAGAACAGATTCTCATCAGCCCCCTCCTTGGACCTCTTCCAAGTCCCTTATTCTAAGGCAGATCCCTCTCTGCTTATCTGCCTCACAATTCCTCCAGGCACTTCTGCCTCCCAGGCGAGACCCCTTTGCCTGTAAACCTCTCATCCTCCCTTCTCAAGCTTCCTTCCCTTCTCTCCCTGATTCTGCATGCTGATCTGGGAGCCAGGGGCATCCCAACCCAAGCCCTCCATGGCTCCCTCCTCATGGCATGGGTGGGGACAGGCTCTGGCCAATGGAGGGTGGGGCTCACACAGCTGGCTCACAGCCCAGGCGGCTGCAATAGCAGGGGTGGCTGAGGCATGAGGCCCAGCCCGCTGTCTCCCCTCCCTTCCCCCAGGTATAAGAGCTGAGCTCAGGTGAGCTGGCTCCTCCTGTCCTGTCTCAGCAGCTGCCAGCAGGTAAGGAAACTCAGGGCTTTTCATCTAGACAGTCTGCCCCTGTCCAGGGAGCAACCTGTGCCCATCTTTCTTGGAGTCTTCCAGGGGCTGGGGGACTGGGTCCTGGAGCTTGGGGTATGTGTGTTTCGAGTGAAGTGGGTGGCTGGAGGAGGTGGGAGGAATAAGGTTGAGATGAGGCCCAAGAGATTCCCTTTAAAAGGATTGGCCTGGGGACCTGGAGCCTTAGCTCCTGGAATTTGGGCAGAAATTGAGACTGTGGAATTGACTCCATCCCACTGGGTAAAAGATCTTAGGTGGTGCCAAAGGTGGCCATGGAGAAAGAATGATGAATTTTCCCCTCACTTCAGGCCTCCCCTTCCTCTAGGCAGATCATGAGCCATCAGCTCCTCTGGGGCAGGTTGTAGGACAACAAAACTCTCATCAAAGGACCAAGTGCATCAGGCACCATGGGACAGTGTCGGTCAGCCAACGCTGAGGTGGGCCCATTCACCTGGCCTTTTTGTTCACATACTCCCTTCTTCCACCCTGAGGTTCTATGTCTCCTACTGACTTTTGCCCCTTACCTTGGTCTTGTCCTACCTCCAGACCTTGCCAATGAAACCTGAACCCCCCCCTTCCTGATCCCCACACTCAGGGTGATGCAGATGGAGTCCTGGGAAGAGGATGTCTGGGCACATGCTGGGACCTGTCCTGCCTGAGCCTGGGGGAGGTGGGAAGGGAATTCTTGCCCAACCTGTGGCTCAGGGCAGAGGCTGTTGTGGCCTAGAGGCCAGGGTGGGTGTGAGGGAGAGGGGCTGGATTCTGGGCTCTGGAGTGGGCAGAGGCCTATATGTACCTTCTAGCTGTCTTCTGCCCAGTTGGCTTTGCCAACGCTCCTGGTACCACAGGTGTCCTGGGGTGGTGGTGCCTCCCTGATGTGAGTCATGTCTCCTGCCCTCAGGATGCCCAGGAATTCAGTGATGTGGAGAGGGCCATTGAGACCCTCATCAAGAACTTCCACCAGTACTCGGTGGAGGGTGGGAAGGAGACGCTGACTGCCTCTGAACTACGGGACCTGGTCACCCAGCAGCTGCCCCACCTCATGCCGGTACTGAGGGAGTGGACCCCACCCCATCTAGTCCCCTGACTTCCCAAACCCATGCTTCAAGACCCCACCCACACTGGCACAGGCAACCCCCATCCCTGCCCCCTTGACAGTGCAGTAGGCTCCAGTCCTACTGTTGGCCTTCAGCCAGGGTGGGGTGGGAAGATCTGAAGGTGCTGCCTTGCTGAGCTGTGGTATCTTCCCTCAGAGCAACTGTGGGCTGGAAGAGAAAATTGCCAACCTGGGCAACTGTAACGACTCTAAACTGGAGTTTGGGAGCTTCTGGGAGCTGATTGGAGAAGCAGCCAAGAGTGTGAAGCTGGAGAGTCCTGTCCCAGGGAGTTGAAAACCTCCCTGTGAAATTCTTGGGGAGATGTTGGGGGAGAGGGGACCTTAGAGACCGTGACCCCAAAATAAAACTTCTTTCCACCAACTCCCTATCCCCAGCCTGCACCTCTCCTCATCTCTGCAAGACTCAGATTCATAACGGCCTTCCCCAGGGACTCTGAGCACTCCATCCAGGGTGCTCCAGGGGTGCCCTGTGGAGAGCTCATGGGTCCAGGAGTCTGCAGCCCAGGGAAGCTGAGGGGATGGATTGGGACTGGGGAGAACAAGAGGATGCCGGAGAGATAGGATGGTAGTGGGGGAAGGGCAGATAGGAGCTGGGCTGTGGAAAATGATTTAAAGAATGGGGCTGGGAATATGGCTGGATATTTGGTACTAAAAAGGGTCTCTGAGAATTACCCCTCCCAATCTCCAATCTAAACTAAGTCTGTACTGTCTCATCCCAGCTCTGTCTCATTCTCTTCCTTAGGACTGTCTCTGGGCAAGGGCAGATTGGGGAGCAGGGTTGGGGGAAGAGGCTGAAGAGGGAGTGACTTTGGGGTGAGAGAACCAGCTGGGTACTTGGGCATTTACAGAATGATGGTTGTTTTGTATCATTTGATTAATAAAAAAATGGAAAACCTAAAAGAGATTGTCTTGATTGGACACTCCCCCTGCCCCAAGGTTAATGGGTGAGGGGTTTTTGGGGTTAAATGATAGAGTCAGTGGTGGGTGGGACATACAGGGTTGGAGTGGTTGATAGTAGATGGGATTAGGTGTTCACTTTTTCCCATGGACTTGGGTTGAGGGTGGTACCAGGGCTAAAATGTGGGGGACCTAGTCCTCTCTGAAGATCAGGCTCTCGCTTGCTAGTGGGCTGGCTCTCAGATAGGAGATGAAGGCACATGTGCACACGTGGGGAAAACATGAACCTAGGTGTCCTGGGGCCCAGCCCACTAATGGCAAGGGAAATGGGGGCTGAGAAATAGGCTGACTAACCTGGGTTTGAATCCCAACTCTTCCACTTACTTTTTTTTTTTTGCTTTACTGGGGTTTGAACTCAGGGTCTCATGCTCGCTAGGCGCTCTACCACTTGAACCACTCCATCATCTTGGAAACTTTGGACATGCTCTTATCTTTCCTGATCTGTAAAATGGGGATGTGGCTATTCCTTCCCTCGAAGGAGTGTTGGGAGGGTGATGTGGCTCCCTGCTACTTGAAATACTTGTCAGAGGCACTGTGAGTGCCAGAAATAGAAGTCACTGTGGAGGTGGGTGACAAGGTCTTCTGTGGTTTTGGCTGTGGCCCCATTAAAGAGAGGTCAAGCTGGTCAGCTTCCTTGGCTACCTGAGGGAAAGGTGAGGGGTGAGAATTGCTCCTGTGCTGTGCATGAAGGATCTTGGGGATGGGTCTCAGGAGAGCTCAGAATGCCAGAACTACAGGGAGGATACTAGAACCAGCTTCTGGTTTCTGGTGCCTGTTTTCTGACTGAAGCCATCAGAAATCAGCTATTCCTCCTGAAATCCTAGTAGCAAGGAAGTTTCTGTGGTCAGTTAGACTGGCCTGGAATGGTAACTGAACTTGTCTGTTAGGGGGCCCCTGAAACTGGGCTCTCAGTGACCCAGGTGAGAAGGCAGGTGACAGTCCTTCCCTTCCTTTCTCCACCTTGTCAGGTTTTGCTCAGCCCTGTAGGGTTAGGAGGGTGGGGTGGAGGGGAGTGCCAGCTTCTACCACTCCCTCTGGGATGGGGATAGAGGGGTATTAAAAAAGGTGTATATCTCTTTAACAAGGGCCCAACCCCAGGGCCAAGTCAAGAGGGAGCTCAGTCACTAACTCCCCACCAAGCCAGCTCAGCCAGGCAGGGCCGGGAGGGAGTAGGATAAATTCTGGGAGTGCAGCAGGGAGGAGTCCTGGCTGAGCTGAGCTGGGGAGCTGCTTGGCAGTGCCAGAGCCCAGGCCCCAGAGCCCTGCTGGAGAGAAGGTGGACGGAGAAGGCAGGTGAGCACCCCAGGCTAGCCCAGGAGGTCTGGGGCTGCCAGAGGGATCCTGCAGACTTGGGAGGCCAAGAGAAGGGGCAGTGAAGGGGGCCTGGGGAGGGGGACCTGCCAGAGAAGGTGCAGATTTTGTTAATTATGAACTTGGGAATGAGGAGTCCTGGTGAAGTTGGGGACTGGATGAGGCCTCTAGAGGAGTGGATGGGCTAGTAAGACCCCCCTCCCCGGCCCAGCAGCTGACTGGGCTCATCTCCAGGGCCTAGGACACTGGGCAGAGCAGTCCGGAGCCTTGCCCACAGCTGTTTAGTCCTCTCAAACAGAAAAACATAAGTGTGTGTTGGTAGGGGCTGCGGTTGTCAGACCCTGAACGTAGGCCTCACTGGGCTCTAGGAGTTGTGTCCTGGGAAAGGTAATGAGGTCCAGGAAGAACCAGGAAGGGCCCAGGGAGCCCAAGAACCCAGAAAGAGGAGGCAGTGGCTGAGGTGGCCTCTCGCTCTACCTGAGGATCCAGGGCCAGACAGGTCCTGGTCCCAGATGCAGGCCCCATTGTATTTGGGTGCTGTTCCTTGGGAGTGGCCTGGGTGAGGCCCTGGGGAAGCCTGGGAGCTTCCCAGGAGAGGGAGAGTGTGAGGGAAAGGGAAAGGAGCCTAACCTAGAGCCCAGCTTCTCCACTTCAGGACCCAGACAGGTCCTGGCTTGATTTGCTTTGCTTTGCAGAACTACCTGCACTATAGGAGCATTTTCCTGCCCAGCCGAGTTGAGGTAGGGGCAAGGCCAGGGGCTATGGGGAGGTGGGCTCAGCCTTCCTCACAGACTAGAAAAGAGCTCTCTGAGTGTTGGGGAGGCCAGGGGCAGCTGTGTGTGTGTGTGTGTGTGTGTGTGTGTGTGTGTGTGTGTATCTACAACAAACTTCAACTTTACTTGTTTGGAAAAAATTTCAGAGAAGTCTGAAAGCAAAGCAGGTGGAGGTAAATGGGTTACCCAAACAGAGCGGATCAGGAATGACAGAATTTCTTGATCTGTGTGAATTTGTCATTGGTAGGGTATTTGGAAAAGAGATATCCTCTGATAGAAGAGAGAAACTCTTTCTTCAGTTTCTAGTTACCCACTGAAAACTCAAGAACTTGTACTAATGATGAAAAGAATTTCAAAGTAATCCTTGAAGGAGGCACACAAGATAGCAGTCCAGCATATATTTATTTAGTGTAGGAAGACAAAACAAGGAGAAAGGTAAGGGGAAAATAAGGTAGTACCTTCTGACAAACAGAAGATGGGAGCTGAGGCTCAATGGGCAGTTTTCATCCCAGGGTGTCTTTGTCCCCTAGTTGGCCTGGGGGTGTCCAGTTAGTCACCTAGCAACTTTCCAATTATCCTGTTTGATACCATCACCCAAGCATGGAGACAGTGGGGCTGAGTTGGCCTTATAATCAAAGGGTCTTGAGACATGGGTATCTATTCTTTTGGTCTTCTTTAGCTACTCTTTCTGGTCACAGATTTATAAAAACCAGGCACTTCCTATCTCAGACTCAATTGTTCATCTAAGCGAGAAGGGAGCATGATAGAAGGAATGCAGGTCTGTCTGGTTTTTTTCCTTTTGGTGGGACTGGGGTTTGAACTCAGGGCTTCGTGCTTGTGACTTTGAGTCACACCTCCAGCCCATTTTGCTCTGGCTATTTTGGAGATAAAGTCTCTAGAAATATTTTTGCCTGGGGGCTGGCCTCAAACCTTGATTCTCCTGATCTCAGTCTCCCAAGTTGGTAGGATTACAGGTGTGAGCCACCAGCACCTGGCTGGTCTGTTCATTTTTGAACAGCTGATTCAATTCCTTGCTATTCTAGTGATTTTTCAGCCTTAGTTCCTAGTTCTGTCTTAGGTCCTGCTTCTTCTTCTTCTTCTTCTTCTTATTTTGGTATGTTTTCTAATTTCCCTGTCTCCTTACCCTAGCTCTTCTTCTCCCCCTCCATTCATTCATTTGTGAATGAGATAACATGAGTACTGTGAGGGCAGATAGGGGTGAGGTAGGAGCTCCTGTGTGAACCATTAGCCTTGGTAACTGGGGATAGAGCATATGAGGGAGCAGAGTAGGCCTGTTGAGCCTGGAGAGATTCATTTGAAACATTCTTGCAAATAGAACCAGTTCAGTTCAGATTGTACTTTCCCTGAATATTGAAGGCAGTTGGAACAAATAAATGAATTAATAAGGGAATTACTGAATGACTGAGAGAATGAATGCATTACTGAACAAGTAAGTAAATGAAAGAGTGAATAAATCAGGCAGCAAGTGAATTAGTAAGCAAATGAACGGTGAATAAATGAGGGAATGAATTTGAAGTAGAGGGAAGGGACGCAGAGAATGCCAAAATTAGGTTTGAAAATGGGCTGGGCTCTGGAGAGGACATTGAGTAGGAGGGATAGGAGTCTGAGGACACATTTTAACACTTGGAAACAAAGTGTGTTTGATAGGGGAAGAGAAGGTAAACTTTGAAGGGTGTGGCGGCTCCAGACTGGGGAGGTGGGGGGGGGTTAGCAGGCACTTGGAGGGGGTGGGGCCCAGAACCTGGGGGTGGGAGGGTGGGGCTGGAGTGGCTGGGATCCAGGGGGATGGTGTCAGGGCAATTTGGGTTTTAGAGAAGTCAGCAAGCTGTGCTCAGGTGGGCGGGGGTGGGGGTGGGAGCCTCCTGGTTGCTCAATGATGAATCAGCCAAGGAGAGGACAATGAAAACATTGGGGGAGGGGTGGGAGCCCTGAGGTGAGAGGCCCTTTGGAATACCAGTGGTCCCCTCATTCTAGCTTTTTTAGAAGACTCCAATATACATTGAGCACCCCCTTCTTAGGCCAAGACCTGCCCTTGGCAAAGTCAATGCAGGAAGTACCTCCTGGCTGACATGCCTAGAAAGGGGTGCCCCCTCCTCCATGCCCAGAGGTCCTCAAGCCTGGCTGGTTGAGATGATGAAGCTGCTGGAAGAACAGATGTCTGTGCATGGGTGGGGTGGCAGAGCCTGTCTCTTGGCCTCCAGGGTAGGGTGGAAGAAGGACAGTAATGACACCTGACTGGCCCACTCTGATAGTCTGCCTTCAGAAAAAGCTTCAGAAAAGCACTTGTCCAGATGATTATCAGAGTTGTCCATTTTAGAAGAAGAAGGTAGGGAGGAGGTGGATTCCTGGGAGGAGGGGCTGGGAAAGAAAGCTCAGAGAAGGACACTGAAGCTACCTCTCTGGGTTGCCCAGCACTCCGGAGGCAGCTGAATCGCTCATCTGTGTCTTGCCTGCTGCAAGAGGCCAGGTAGGGGTTGAGCATGGAATTGAGGAAGGGCAGGAGTAGACTCCTCTGGTGGGAGAAATAAGACTTTGAGAAGGCAGATGGAGGAGAAGTGGGCTGGCCCTCAGGGCAAGAAACAGAGGTACATCACTGAAAACACCCATTTCTTTTTGGCAGCACTGGGAATTTGAACTAGTACCTCCTGCTTACTAGGCAGTCACTCTACCACTTGAGCCATTTCCCTAGCCCTTTTTTGCTTTTGTTATTTTTTAATAGGGTCTTGTGTTTTTGCCTGGCCCAGCCTTGGACTGCAATCTTCCTACCTTTGCCTCCCGAATAGCTGAGATTACAGGTGTGCAATATTATATCTAGCTAAAATACCTATTTCTTCCCTTTCTTTCTCCTTGCCTGTTCTGCACAGGTCTCCTCACTCAGGATGCAGATCTAGAGTGGTTAGGGGGTGAGAGGTCTCAAATTTTCTCTCTACTGCCATGGCTTGTTTGGGAGAGGGCTTGGTACAATCCTTCCTGAAATGGATACAGTTTCTAGGTTCCCCAGCAACACTGGCTGTGGGCTTGGGCCACCTCAATCCTACCCAAGGGCAGTAGAGCAGATACATCATGGGTTGAAAAATTTTCTTTCTCCTTATTTGTAGATGTTAGAGAATCTGTGTGAATGTCTTACAAAGGCACAAACATTGAACCACACAGTTACACACTTAACGAATAGAGAGTATGGAAAGAAATAAGTTTCCTGTAATCCCTGTCATCCTTCTAGCCACAGACCAGAGTGGTCAGGCAGGGAGGGAAGACAGGATTTCCCACCAGAGACACCCTAGCCTGACCCCTCTTCCTCTCAAGTCTCCTTCCTTCTTGCATCCTGTCCTACCTCCTGTTTTAGAAAAAGCTTACATCCTTCCTTTAGGAAAAGCTTAGAAAGATGGAGAGCTGGCATCAGAGCTGAAAGGAGATGGTACAATTATATATTTCCTTTGAGCAAGGCCCTGGGCCAGGTAATGTGGGCTGGGGGAGTCAGAGAGATTTAAAAAGGAGGGTGGTTATATATCCATAAGAGAATTGTCCCCATGTATATGAATCTTGGTGTTTGGTTCAGGAAACACAGCAGTTGCATGTCAGAAATACTATTCTTGCCTCAAGGAATAGACCAGAGCCAGAAGAGACAGTGACCAAACCAGTTAGTGGCCCCAGCCAATGCTGGCACAGTGAAGACAGACACATCAGTGGGAGTCCAGGAGGAGTGCACTGAGGTCAGGGGTCAAGGCAGGCTTCCTGTGGAAGGCACGGTTTGGGCAGGGCCAGAGTGATGGGCAGGCTTCAGCTAGGTGGAGAGTACTGGGCAACCATCTTGGGAATAGGAATGGCAAGGAGCGGGATTAGAATGCAAGTGGGAGGGGCAGGAGACTGTGGTGGGGCCTGGTGAAGACACCTCCCTTCCAAATCAGACCATGGGTGCGCAGGCCTGTGTGGTGACTGTGTCTCTGCTGTGTCCACCTCCCCTTGCTGCGACCTGCTGGGTGAGGGCGGCTGGAGCTCATTCTTGGGCTTGAGGGTGGGAGGGGAGTCTGATTTGCCGGGGTTGACTTGGGGGGGCTCTGGGCATGGGCGGCGACTCACAGAGTAGATCCGCCTGTTCCCCTCATATCCTGTTATTCAGAAGGCTATATCCGCTTGGAATGTGAGTGTCTTTTGTCTTGGGGTGAGGGGGTGACGCATGTAGCTGGTGCCAGGCAGCAGCAGTGTCCAGAGTCAGTCTCCAGCTGGAGCAGAACTGGGCCTGGCTCCTTCTTAGGTAATGGGGTGGGGGTATCCTTGGGTCCTGCTGTATATATCAGGGGTGAATATAGGGGAGAAGCTAGCAGTGCGTGGCAGGGAGGGAGAAGCTGCACAAAATCTGATTTTTGGATCAGGACCTTGTCCTTTCTTGGAGATGGGCAACTGAATTCATTGGAGCCTGCAGAAGGGACTTGTGGGGGGTGGTGGGGGTGGGTTGCGGGAGAGCCTAGGTGCATACTTCCTGCTTTGTTGCCTCTCAGCAAGTCCTGGGGATGGGAGACAGAAGCCCTGTCCCCATCTGCCTTGGTTTTCCCCATCAGTTCTTAGCTGTGCTCAACTCCACGGTATGGGCCTTGGGTTGGATGCATGGTGTGCAGCAGGATGGGGAAGACTGGGCAGTTACCCTCCTCCTCTCCCCATGGGAGCCTCTAGCTCTTCTAGGGCTCTGACAGGGGTGCCTGGGGCTGAGGAAGGACCTGGAGAACCTGTCCAGGCAGTTGGGCTGGGTAACACCGGATTAGAGGAGTGCATAGCTCTCATTCTAAGGCCTGCCCCAGCACCCACTGCACTCCCCTCCCTTTGCCTCCTCCCTTCACAAGAGGATGAGCAGCTTGGGGGTACTGGGGACTCATGGGGTCTCTTCCCATCTCCCTTCTTCATGATGCCCAGGCCCTGTGAGGTGCTGAGCCAGTGAGATGGCTGACAGCTACACGGAGCTGGAGAAGGCAGTCGTCGTCCTGGTGGAAAACTTCTACAAATATGTGTCTAAGCACAGCTTGGTGAAGAACAAAATCAGCAAGAGCAGCTTCCGCAAGATGCTCCAGAAGGAGCTGAACCACATGCTGACGGTGCGGCTCCCACCCGTAGGCCTGGTTTCTCCCCACCTGCCCCACTGAGGCCTCTGCTCTTTCAGTCACTCCCTCCAAAGCCCCTTCCCATCCCCCACGGGCCTCTGTCTTCTCAAAGTGCCCAGGCCTAGCCAGTGCAGACTGCATTTTCCAAGGGTAAACACTGCCAAGCTCTATTCTGGAACTCTGTTTAGAGTCCTGTCTGGGGATTTTCTGGGGCTGTCGCCTTCAACATCACTGACCCCTCTTTCCTCTGCAGGACACGGGCAATCGGAAGGCTGCCGACAAGCTCATTCAGAACCTGGATGCCAACCATGATGGGCGCATCAGCTTTGATGAGTACTGGACCATGATAGGCGGCATCACCAGCCCTATCGCCAACCTTGTCCGCCAGCAGGAACAGCAAGGCAGCTGCTAGAGGTCCCCCTCTCATTACCACTTCCAGGCCCTGACCCAGACCCTGGCCTGGGTGCCTTTCCCAGGCTCTCTCCTCAGCCTCTTGTGCCCTCCCAGCCCCTTTCTTCCCTTGTCCTGCCACACCTGCTCCTGACCCTTGCTGAACAGCAGAGAGGAGATGTCAGGGTCCTTTTGTGAGTGTCTCAGTTTAGGGGTGCTTCCCTGAGGGTCTCAGTCCTTGGAGCAGGCAGGCCTTAGGGCCCCTCTGTGAGCTCTCAGTGCTGTTTGGGAACCCTAAGAGTTTTCTCGCCTGTTCAGTCCATTTCCTTCCAAAGTTGTATGCTCCCGTCTGATTCTGGGTCTGTCCTGGTCTCCAGAGGTCAGCTTGTTGCTTGAAGTCTCCCTGTTTTTTAGTAGCAGCAGCAACAGCAGCAGCAGCAGTTGCCCCATCCTCACCCCTGCTCCGCAGCCCCTCAGCTGGGTGGGAAAGCACTTCCAGGGCCTCCCTTCCAGCTGCCTCTGTCTGGGAATGAGCTAAGCTGGGTTGAACCCCCTCCCTCAGCTCAGCCACTGAAATAATGACAATAAAAGCTGGATTCAGAGTTTGTACCCCCTAACCCAGTCCCTTTGTGATGGTCATTAAACCCTTCACACCCTGGGAAACTTCTCCTGCCTTGGCAATCTTTGAACTGGACTCTGAGGCCTGGAGGAATCTCACAGGAAAACAACTCCAGAGGCAGAGCAAGAACTCTTAGATCCCAGAAGGTGCTGTCAGTCCTGGGTCAGAAGCTCCCCCTCCCCACCCCCTCTTGTTCTATGAAGGACCAGAGGCCACATGGCACTGTCATAACCCAGACTCCAACTCAAATTCAACTTCCAAACACGTGATCGGTCTCATTCAGTTCTCATTGCAATTCTACGAGATGGGCTATGACTCTCAATCTCAAGCCATAAATAGCACTAAGGTCCTGATTCCTCGTCAATAGATGAGTTCAATATACAGAGAAGAGTGTGAGGAAAGAGAGATATGGGGGCCAGAGAGGGAAAAGGAACCATGGCTTAGCTGCTGAAGAGGACAGTGACAGCTTCTCCAATCTCCCTGCTCTTGCACTGAGTGAGCCCCCAGTGGGAACATGGCAAGAAACCCAGCCTGCAGAGCTTGGGGTCAAAGGTTTTCAAATGATAGCAGTATACTCAAGATTTAAGATTTAAGAAACAAAAGAAACAGGTGCAGAGTTTAACTGGAATCTACTTAACACTGGCTTTCCTTTCTCCACATCACAATAACACTATCCCAGTTAAAATGAAAGGCATGTCCTTAGTACTACTATTCTGCCCTGACTGAGTGTTAAAGAATCTGATCACATTTTTTTTGTGGGGGTCTTCTATCTATCTATCTATCTGTCTATCTATCTATTTATCTATCTATCATGATTTTTAAAATCCTTAAGTTTACCTTATTTTTGAGTGTACATTACCTATATTCACATTGCTTTTTTATTTTTTTTGTTTAAAAAGGTGGGATCTTGCTATGTTACCCAGGCTGGCCTTGAACTCCTGGGTTCAAGTGGTCCTCATGCCTCAGTCTCCTAAGCAGTCCACAGTACAGGTGCATACCACCATGGCTGGCTATATGCACAGTGCTCTACAACAGATTAATAGAACTTTTACATCTTGCACAACTCTTACTTTATACTGACTGAACTACAGCTCTATCTTCCCCTCCCCACAGTAATCACCATTCTACACTCTGTTTCTATAAGTTTAAATAATTTAGATACCTCATAAGTTGAATGGTAAAGTGTTTGTCTTTTGTGATTGACTTAGTTCACTTAGTACAATGTCTTGTAGATTCATCCATATATTATAGATTATGACAGGATTTCCTTCCATTTTATGGTTGAGTAATCATGTATATGCCACATTTTATTTTTTGTGGTACTGAGGTTGAACTAAGGGCCTTGGGCTTGCTAAGCAGGTACTGTATCACTTGAACTACTCCCCCAGCCCTTACCGCATTTTCTTTATTCATTCAACTGCTGATGGACATTTAGACTGCTTTCATTTCTTGGTATTGTGAATAATGCTGCAGTGAACATGGGTGTAAAAATATCTCTTCAAGATCTTGTTTATACTTATTTCAGATATATGCCTAGCAGTGAGATTGTGGGGTCATATGATAAATCTATTTTTAATTTTTGAGAACTCTCCATACTGCTTTCCATAGCAGCTGCACTATATTATAATCCCATCAACAAACAGTGTATAAGGGTTCTGATTTCTCCATATCTTCATCAACACTGGTATATTCTGGGTTTTTTTTTTGAATTTTTAATTCTTATTTTTGAATTTTTTCTTTATTGTGCTGGGTGGGGGTACATTGTATTTTTGAATTTGCATACATTATTATGAGGGGCTTCATTGTGATAATTCTATACATTCTATACTTTTTTTTTTTGCAGTACTGAGGGTTGAACTCTGGGTGTTGCTTTTGCTAGGCAGCAGCTCTACCATTAGAGACACTCTGCCAGTCCTTTTTGCACTGGTTATTTACTTATTTATTTGTTTATTTTCAGTACTGGGGCTTGAACTCAAGGCTAACACCTTCAGCCACTCCACCAGCCTTATTTTTGTGATGGGTTTTTTTTCAAGATGTGGTCTTGTGTACTGTTTGCCTGGGCTGGCTTCGAACTGTGATCCTTCTGATCTCTTCCTGGGGAGTAGCTAGGATAACAGGCGTGAACTACTCGCACTTGGCTTGCATTGGTTATTTTTGAGAAAAGGTCTTGCTTTCTTCCCCAGGCCTGTGTGGACTGCTCTCCTATTTTTGCTTCCCTATGCAGCTGAGATGACAGATGCTTGCCACTGTGCCCAATCATTGGTCAAGATAGGGTCTTGCAAACTTCTTGTCTGGGCTGATCTTGAACCATAAGCCTTATGATCTCAGTCTTGAAAGCAGGATTATAGGCATTAGCCACTGGCATCTGGCTCTTCTTTTAGTTTCTTGAGGTTTAAAGTTATGTTGTTGATTAGAGATCTTACTTATTTTCTTTTTATTTTTTGGTGGGAATGGGGTTTGATCGCAGGGCTTCACACTTGCAAATCAGGTGCTATACTGCTTGAGCCACACCTCTAGTCTATTTTGCTGTGGTTATTTTGGACAAGGAGGGGGGTCTCAAGAACTATCTGCCTGGACTGGACTTGAACCTCGATCCTCTTGATTTCAGCCTCCTAAGTAGCCAGGATTACAGGCATGAGCTATCAGCACCTGGTAAGATCTTTATTCTTTTTAAGCATAGCATTTACTGCTATAAACTTCTTTCCTTGTACTATCTTTGCTAAATATCATAAGTTTTGGTATAACGTGTCTTTGTTTTCATTTTCTCAAGATATTTTCTAATTTCTCTTGTGATTTCTTCTTTGACCTTGTACAAAGATGTTGCTCAATGTCCACATATTTGTGAATTGGTCAGTTTTCATACTACTATTAATTTCTAGTTTTATTTCATTATGATCAAAAAAGATTTGTTAGATTGCCTAACATCTGATCTCTCCTGGAAAATGTTCTGTTTGGGAACATTTGAAAAGAATGTGCATTCTTCTGCTGTTGGTGGAGTGTCCTGTATATGTCTGCCATGGTTTAAACATGGTTTGTGACCCTAAGGGTCTATTGTATTACAGAATTGGTCCCCAGGGTGGTGCTGGTGTTGTAAGGAGGTGGTAGTACCTTTTGGAGGTGGGGCCTGGTGGGAGGTCCTTCAGTTTTTGAGGGCATTAGGAATTTCTCTTATGACCCTTTTGGTCGTTCTTAGAAGAGGGTTTTTATAAAAGGAGCAAGCCTACCCCTGCCCATACTTTCCTCTGCTGGAGATGTGACTGCTTGCCCATATGTGAACTCCCACCATGATGTACATCTATCCCTGCCCTCATCAGGTGCCAACAAGTAAGGTCTTTCCATCCAGTCTTGGACTTTGAGCCTTTAAAACTGAGCTAAATAGGACTGGAGGTGTGGCTCAAATGGTAAACAATCTGTCTAGCATGTGTGAAGCCCTGAGTTTGAACCCCAGTGACCACCAAAAAAACCCCCAAAAACAAAAAAACAAAAAACTGAGCTAAATAAACCTTTCCTCTTTATGGAGTATGATGCTGCAGGTATTTCTTTATAGCTATCAAATGCTGACTAATACCATGCCTGTCAGATCGAATGTCTATGTAGTGTTGTTCAAGTCCTCTGTTTCTTTATCGTTTTTCTTTCTGGTTGTTCACTCATACATATATATTTTAAATGGATGATGGTTAGATTTCATCATATGCACATTTAAAACTGTGTCTTAAGCTGGGCACAGGTGGCTCATGCCTGTAATCCTAGCAACTCAGGAGACAGAGATCAGGAAGATCATGGTTTGAAGCCAGCCCAGGCAAATTGTTCTGCGAGACCCTATCTCGAAAAAATCCTTCACAAAAAAGGGCTGGTGGAGTGGCTCAAAGTATAGGCCCTAAGTTCAAACCCCAGCACCACAAAAAACAAAACAAAACCAAAAAACAAAATAAAACACAGTGTCTTAATAATTTTACTTAGAAGTATTATAATATCTAAAACATTTCAGAAATTACACCCTTTGCGATGATTTAAACATGATGAAAAATCTTAGCTGTCGACTTGAAAAATATGCAAGGCAGTACAGAGTTAAAAAAAAATTCCTTCAGGGAGCACATTTGTAGATAGACTTTAGAGAGCAGCAGTGTTGCAACAGTACAGGGTTGGGTACTATCTAGGAAAACTTTCGGGAGGAGGGATGAGCTGAGTTGGAACAGAAAGCAGGGGAGGAGCAGGACTGGTGATGACAGGGAGGAAAAGGGGCACAGAGCTTCTTGGAAGATAGAATAGGGATGACGGTAGGTGTCAGACCTTGGGATGATAGAGGAGGTGGATCTTTGTGTTAGTTGGATTTCTATTTACTGTCACAAAGTAACTGGGATAATCTACTTATAAAGAAGAAAGGTTTATTTTAGCTCACAGCTTTGAAGGTTTCAGCATTGGTCAGCAAGCTGGTTGTTTTGGGCCTGTGGCAAGGCAGCACATCACACTGGGCACATTAAAGCTGTTTAACTCATGGCTGGAACACGAGAAAGAGAAAGAGGCTGGGGTCCCACAAATCCCTTTAAGGGCACATCCTCAGTGACCTTAAACCTCCAACTAGGTCCCATCTCTTAAAGTACCTACCACGTCCCAAACAGAGGACCAAATCTTTAACACATGGGCCTATGTGGCACATTTTAGATCCAAGCTATGGCAATCCTTAAAGCCCAAGCTGTAGGATCTCATGGGAAATCCCAGAGGCAATTCAGAATATAGCTGTGCTTCTTGTCCTTTCCTTCCAATGACCAGCTTCTCAGTCACTTTCAACCTTTCACACAGTACTTGTTCCCCTCACACCATTAACTCAGAATTCCCATCTTTCCTCCCAAAGTGAGAGGGAAATTAAGGAAGGGAGATGCTATCTCAGTATCAGAGACCAAAGAGGGTCTCTTAGGAGGGCCATCCCCATACCGTTCCCCAGGACCACTTCTGTTTCCTAGAGAAATGGCGGGCTCTGCTCCTTCACTGCCTGCTGTAGTTGGTGGAGGCTAGCCCTTCTACCTCACTGGAACTTTAGAACAGCTGGTGGGACCCCAGTTAGCCTGTTGCTGGGGAAGGAGATCTAAACTCAGCTGAGAGGAGCTAGGAAGTGGAGTAGCTTCCTGAAGGAAGCTGAACTTCTGTGGAGGTTGAGAACTTCACTGCTACCCAGGGCCTGGTGCCAGGGAGATTTCAGAGAAGCAAAAAAGCAGCCACTGCAGGGTCAAGTGGCTCAAGCTGAGGCCTCCCTGGAGAGCAGGGGTGAGAGAAGGGCAGGACCAGACAGCCTGAGCTGAGAAGAGAAGACAAGCCTAGCAGCAGGTCTTCACAGATAGAGGGTGCCTAGGAAATTGTGCCTGTCAAATCCATTTGACATTCTTTTCTTTTTTCTTTTTTTTGGCAGTACTGATGCTTGAACACAAGGCCTTACGCTTGCTAGGCAGACACTCTACCACTTGAGCCACTATGTCAGCCCTGTTTTGTGTTGAATTTTTTCAAGATAGATAGGGTCTCATGAACTATTTGCCCAGGCTGGCTTTGAACCCGATCCTCCTGATCTCTGCCTCCCAAGTAGCTAGGATTACAGGCATGAGTCACTGGCGCCCAGCAAGACTCGACATTCTTTAGGATGAGAACTTGGCTTATATGAGGATAAATAACCTAAAACCACTTGTGCCAGCTTTTGTAGTTCTTGTACATTTGTTGGATTTTCTTTCTTTCTTTTTGGCACTGGGGTTTGAACTCAGGGCATACACGTTGAGCCATTTCACCAGTTCTTTTTTGTTGTTGAGTTTTTTTTTTTGAGGTAAGGTGTCTGGAACTATTTTCCCTGGGCTGGCTTCAAACCCCGATCCT